GTAAACTTATTATGATTCCAGTAAAAATACTAACAGTATTTGTTTGTTGCTTTTGTGTTGAGGGTAGCAGGATTAGCTAAATGGAAAATTCTGGGGGTGGGAAAGGATAACGAACAGTACAGGGAGATGCTCAAACCAAAGATATTAAGACTTGGGAAACAATGTTCATCAGTAAGGGCTAGAACAGGTAGCAAGACCTTGTCTTAAAAATCCCAAACAAAAGGCCCCAAGCATAAAATTGGGTAGACGGGCCAAGGATTTAGCTCAGTGATGCCACCACCTGCTTTCCAAGCACAAGGTCCTGAGTTCCATCCCTGGTTTAAAAAAAAAAAAAAAAAATGCTTCTAAATCCAGGCAGACAGCATGATGCTATTGGTATAAAAAAGGAGAAAACACAGTAACACATTTGTTTGCTGTTGCTGTGGAAAAATAACCCTCAAAACTTAGCGATTAAACGTTTATCATCTCAGTGTTCTCAGGGCACAGCTGAGCTGACTGTCTTTGGCTCAGTTCTAGCAAGGTCAGTCAAGCTATCAGCTGGGGCTGTACCTATCCTATAAAACTCACCTGCTTGCGGGAGGGAGGACCTGCTTCCAAATTCCTGATTCAGCTTGTCGCAGCATCCAGCCTGACGTGCCTCCCCACGTGGCTGTGCACAGCATCCCAGCCGACTTCCAAAAGGGACTAAGATTCAAGGGTGAAAGACAGTACCTAAATGGAAGCCACAGACTTGTTTTCATCATTTATTTTCAGAAGCAACATCCCACCACTCTGCAGTCTTGTATCATTAGATGCAAATCTGCAAGCTGGCCCACCCGGAAAGGTGGGAGGACCTCAGGGCATGGATGGTACAGGTGGCTCATGGGGCTATCCAGGAGGGTACCTACCAGCACAGCACACACTGGAAACGTTCAGCACTGGCTGCCTCCAGGGAAAGGACCTGCGTACCTAGAGGAGAATTTTTCACTCAGTATGCTTTTGTACCTCACGATTTTTTATATAATGCTTACGTTTTATTCAAAAAATAAAAATTTAAAAGAACACTTTTAAATTTTATTTATTTATTTATTGGTACCGGGGATTGAACTCAGGACCTTACGCTTGCGCAGCAGGTGCTGGAGCCACTGGGCTAAATCCACAGCCCTAATTTAAAATTTTAAAAGAATAATTAAAAGGATGCCATTTAATAACAGAAAAAAAGCTAAGAGTCAAGAAATGAAAATCAGTCAACTATTACCAGGCACTATAAACATGTTTCTAGTCATCATTCAGTAAAGGAAGTTTAAAAACTATTGTACACACGTGGTCACACACACACAGTTGTGCCTCACTTAACCACCCGGAGGCTGGGTGTGGCAGCACACATTCACAATCCCAGCGGGTGGGAGGCCCACCAGGAGGATCACCTATGCGTTTGAGGCCAGCCTGGGCTATACAGTGAGTTCAAGTCCAGCCTGAACTACATACACAGTGAGACCCTGTCTTTAAAAAAATAGTTGATCTGAGCATTACTTAAGCAGCACGTTTGTTTACGGACTATCCAAAGCGGACTATCCAAAGCGTCACTCGGGCAGGTGTCATTTCAACCAGTTTTTTTTTTTTTTCCATTAAGTTTACTGGTACATTTAAAGCGAACAATACAGTTACATTTATCACTGGGATCTTGCACCTTTCTGTGATATATCTTGGTTCTTGTTTTTCGCCCATACCCCTGCCCCTCCCTTCACCCTTCCCTATTTACAAGGACTTTGTTTCCATTTTTTCATTTTTTATTTTCTCTCCCCTCCACTTCCCATTTCCCCTTTAGCCATTTTCTTCCTATTTCACCCTCTCAATTACCAGGGTATTCTTGTAGTGAATAAATGAAACTGTTTTTATATTTCCTGCTATATTCTTATAAAATTAATGAAAATGTGTAATTTTTAGTCATGCCGTATTTCAGTAAATGCAGTGGTAAGTGGTTAATAGATATATAGTCCGAGAAATGTGTCATTAGCTGATTTTGTTGTGTGAACACGAGTTAAACTAAGATGCCAGGGTATCACTAGGGCATATGCTCTCACGAGGCCACCCTCAGATATGCAGTCCTTCACTCACTAAAATGTTACGGGGCAAACAACCGTACACACATGTACATGTACACAAGCAACTGTCTCTAGAACAAAAACCAGAATCGTTTTTCCCATTAAGTTTATTGGTACATTTAAAGCAAACAATACAGCTACGTCCGTCATTGGGATCTTGTACCTTCACACGACAGATCTTGGTTCTTGTTTCTTCCCCACACTCCTGCCCTCCCCTCACCCTTCCCTATTTACAATGACTTTGTCTCCCCTTTTTCATTTTTTCACATTTTTTCTCTTATTTCCTTTCCTTTCCCCTCCCCTTCCCACTTCCCCTTTAGCCATTTTCTTCCTATTTCACACTCCCAATTATACCATTTGAACCTTATTTACGCTTTGAGATAAAAACCAGAATCTTGAACCAGCTTCAGGGTTCTTCACAGCGTGACTCCAGCACGCCCCTCCAGGCCCATTTCCTCCATCCTTCTAGGAACTCTACCTGCTGTACTGCGCAATTAAAAGCTGTCCTTTCTAGAGGGTAAAGGCAACAAGTACTTGCATAGAGCAGACTTTCAACGAGTGTCAGTGTCCCTTCTTAATCAAAGCCTACCCCTGTACAGCTAAGCCCCACGCTGGAGGGCGGCGGGGATACTCTGAATCCTCTCCTAGCCCCAAGTAAAATTCCACTGAAGGCTAACTCAGATGTTCTTGTCCCCAGGAAATGAACCCCCAGCAGTTAGCTATCACCTCTATTCCCCCACAACCCTTTATAGAACTGTAACGCTTTCATTACTGTATTACAATGTATATCTCTACAACTCAAACAGCTCATCCTTGGACTATCAGCATCAACATTTCCTAGGGCCTCTAGAAATGCAGAATCTTGGCCCCCTCCCAGACCAACAGAATGAGACTCTAAATTCTAGCAAGATACCAGTGATTCACATGTATATTAAAAGTTTAAGAAGCACTGTTTTATATCTTTCCCTGATTGAACTGGAAGCTTTCTCAAGGCTTTCTTTTATCTCTGTCTCCAGAGCCCATCACACTCAATACTCAAATCCCTTCTAAGTTAAGTTCTATTTATAACATTTATGCACATGATAGATTTTTAATAAAATTCTTGGAAGAATATACCCATGTTATTAATAATTGTTATCTATTAAGTGGACAATTGTACATTTCTATGCATTTCGTTTTTTCACTGTGTGTGATCTTTGTAGACAGAAAAACATGAAGATTTGGAAAACCACATAAAATGTAAGATAGACTGAAAGATACAGTCAAAGACAAATACATATTATATAATAAAGATAATGGTATACAATTGTGTTGAGGTATAAAAACAGATAGGAAGATGAATATGCTATATTTAAATTATTTATTTATTTGGCTTTTTTTTGTTTTGTTTTGTTTTGTTTTTTGAGACAGGGTCTCACTATGTAGTTGAACTGGAACTCACTGTATAGCCCAGGCTGGTCTCAAACTCACAGTGATCCTCCTGCCTCAGCCTCCCGAGTGCTGGGATTACAGGCATGTGCCATGATGCTCGGCTATGTTTAAAGTTTTTAAAGACAATTTAATGGTGTGTATTTCGTATCATTTGTTTTTTGGGGGGTTTTTTTGGTACTGAGGATTGAACTCAGACCTTGCGCACGTGAGGCTGGTTCCCTACCACTGAGCTAAATCCCTGGCCTGATGTCGTTTGTTTTTAGCTAAAACTGTGAATGGACAATGAAAGGACACATTAAAGTTTTCTGATGGGAGTTTGCATTATACTTTTCTATTTTAAATCTTTCCTATAATTACTACAAAAAAAGTGTAGGAAAAAAGCCGCTTCCACTTTGAAAAGTGTCTGCACTCTTTATCAGCACTTTTTCCATCAGTGAGGGAGGCTCTGCCAGTGGCTGGGAAGTGGGAAGCTCTGCAGGCACACGGCCACAGCAGAGGCGAAACCTAAACCCAGAGCCTCAGCAAGGCAGCCTGACCATGCGTCTCCAGGCTGTGGAGTTACCGCAAACTCACAAGAACAGGCCAGTGTGACGGCAGCTGTCGCCAAATCCGGTCATTTTGTGAAACTCACTACTCCCTCACAGATGGTCAGCAGCAACAAGGGAAAGCGCTCAGGGACAAGCGTTCAACTGATTCATGCTGCACCATCTCCCCCTGGTGGCAGGCTGTGGAAATGGAAAGCGGCTAGATGAGGAAGCTAGGGTGATGTATCAAACAGTCTGAATTTTGGAATGTTTTCCATCATTATCTCCCTTTCTTCATTCATTTATTTTTTTGAGACAAAGCCTCACTCTGTAGTCCAGGCTGGCTTTCAACTAGCTATTGAGGCCTGGGCTGGCCTCACGCTCGCAATCCTTCGGCTGCCGCCCCCAAGTGCTGGAATAAGGGGTGTAAACCGCCACACCTGGCTTCCTTCCTCTTGTTCTTACTTTGTCTGGCGCTGGGGACTGAATCCAGGGCCACACCAAACACAAGCGCCAGCCCTGCACCGTATGCCCACCCTCCCCCTTATTTATTGAAATCATCGAAACCACTTTCTCCTCCATCGAGGAGTCTGGTGTGGACCTGAACACAAAAGCAGGGCCTGTGTCAAACAGAGGTGGTGATTCAAGTGATGCCAGGAGCAGCTGCGGCCCTTCATCTTCTATCCTTTCCTTCCCTATCACTTCAGCTCTTGAGATAAAGAGAGACACTGTGAGCCAGCACTGCCTTTTCTGTCTCTGCTTCCATCCACCTCCCTGAGCCTCAGGAAAGGGTAAGCAGGGGCCTGCGTACCCTAGGCCAAGCCCTGGCATGGAGGAGCCCTCAGAGACACCTACCACCAGACCTCCAAGACCTAGTCCTTAGGTTAGGCACTGATTATTTCAAATATGCCAGACCGCTGCGCTGATGATCCTTTAGAAATACCAGAGTGCGGCAATGTCAGTCTTCAACAGTGGCCCTCGGTCTCCAGATAAACACACGGCTTCCTTACTGCTCCAGGAAGAAAGATACACTCAATAGGATATCTGGAACAGGAAGAGGGGAAGACTGTTGCATATCACCACTCCAGAGAACATGAAATATCAGATCATAAAAATACAGAGCTACAGCAAGGGCATCTCTCTAAAGCTTCCCACGAGATGAGCCATCAGGAATGAAAAGAAACATACAGTACCCTGCACAAGGTCTTGCTCATCCTCTGAAATTCGGTTCCAGGCTGTGGGTAATGCTTGAATGCCTGCCAAGTCTCCCCACTGGACGGAAGAGAGGAGGTGCTTTCTCTTCAGGTACCTTCCCAGGAGTTAAGGACACATTTTCAGAAAGAAAATGAAGGGCTGAGGAGTGTAGCTTAGACTTAGAACGCTTGCCTAACATGAAGAATCCTTGCATGAGGGCCTTGGTTCAATTCACATAGAGAAAAAGGAGACGGAAAGAGGGGGGGGGCAGACAGACAAGAGACAGAGAAAGGAAGAAAGAAAATGAAGTATGCAGAAGGAATAAAGCACCCTGGCCAGAGATACAGAGATAAAGTAAAAGTTACATTTTGCCAGATGGGCAGGATCCACAAATACTTCCCAAGCAACTCTTTATTAACACAGCCTAATGCTACTGGGAGAGAGGAATCAAACACTGTCCCTGAAATCTTGGATCGCACCTCAGTGACAACACAACCAGAAACTGAAAAGCAGCAAAGTAGCGTGAAAGATAAACTACGTGGAAATTCAAAGGATGACTACTTCTACTCTGGAGGCTGGCAGGAACATTCCAGCTGGTAGGAAAGAGAAGCAGAGGCAAGGGAATGAGGAAACATGAAGTAGATTTGAGGAAAAGTGAGCCTTCCAGTGAGGCTGGCACAGAGCATGTAACCGCAAAGGCAGCTGAAAAGGTGCAGGAATCCAGAACGGAGAGTGCTGAGCATGGAGGTAGAGATTCTGAACCTTATTCAAATAGCAACAGAAGCCACTGACAAGTCCTGTACAAGCAACCTAAAACAGAACTAGACTTCTGGAAGACACAGGGAGTCTGCTCATCACCTAGAAATAGCTTAGAGGGGGAAAAAAACCAGAGACAGAGAAACCTGTCAATAGCTACATGTGATTAAGAGTCCAAGGAAGAAACTAAGGAAGTGACAGAGGGCGGAGAGAAAAATATAGTCATGCATTACTTAATGATGAAAACATGTTCTGAGAAATGTGTCGTAACTGATTTTGCCCAGTGTGAACACTGTAAAGTGTACTTACGCAACAAAGACAGCTATGACATCACCAAGTGATATAATCTTTTGGGAACTCACGGTATGTGTGGTTCATGTTGGCATGTGGTACATGACTAGAAACCAGCAGCCGGGAAACAGAAGCAAAGGACTTGCTAAGTGTGTGCACGAACAGTCTAGCAACGGCAGCTGTAGCTATTGCTCCTCTTGCCCTTGCCACTGGTGCTCACATTGCTACTGCTCGTGCCACACCACCACCACTGGTGCAGTTAAAACAACAAAGAGAAGGCCAGGGGTAGGGGGAACATTTGCACACAGAATAACAACAGTGTTGATTCTACAACTAAAAGAAAAGGGGGTTGAATTTGAGATGCAAGACTATAAGCAAAAAAAAAAAAAAAAAAAAAAAAAAAAAAAAAAAGGCAAAGCCAGAGGGGAGATGTGGGTATCAGGCAAGAATCCAGAGAAAAAGGTTGCAACTCTAACTGGTCTTTCTTTCACCCTTGCGTGCCATCACCCTGACTTTTCTGAGAACATAGCATAATGATACTGTTAAAAAAATGGGTGTTCTGCCAGGTGTGGTGGCACACACCTATAATCCCAGCACTTGGGAGGGTGAGGCAGGAGGATCCAGTGAGTTCAGGGTCAGCCTAGGCTACATAGTGAGTTCAGGGCCAACCTGAACTACAAAGGGAGACTTTGCTTCAAAAGAAAAAAACAAAAAACAAACAAACAAAAAACCCACGTAAGTCTTTCCATGTTACTACTCTATTCAAAACCTTTTAACAGCTTTTGTCTCAATCAAAAATAAAAATCCTGGAGCTGGTGATTTAGCTCAGTCGTTCCACTGTCTGCCTTGCAAGCACACGGACCCCACCAAGACAGCAACAATAACATCAACAACAGCCAGGCGTGGTGGTGCACCCCTGTAATACCAGCACTTGGGAGGCTGAGGCAGGCTGAGGCAGGCTGAGGCAGGACGATCGCTGTGAGTTCGAGACCAACTTGGGCTACACAGTGAGTTCCAGGGCAGTCTGAACTACATAGTGAGACCCTGTCTCAAAAAACCAAAAAACCAAAAACAAAAAACAAGACAACAAAAAAGTGAAAATCCTTTCAGAGACCTTCAGGCCCTGCACTCATTAATCTCATCTCCTCTTCTGCTCCCTTCATGCCATGCTGTGACACAATGAAGCCTGCCCAGACCACCCTATCTCATAACCCACCTTCACACCTCACATTCTTTGCATGATTTTCTACCATAGCATTTATCATCCATCATCTGATGATCTACTATTTTCATTTCTCTATTTTGAGATAAAGTCTGGCTATGTTGTCCAGAAAGGCTTCAAGCTTGACATTCTCCTGCCTTAGCCGCCCATGCAGCTGGGATTAGAAGCATTTATCACTGGGGCCAGGTCTGTATCTATCTTCCCTCTTTCACACTCTGTCTGAAAAAACAAAGCCAAAGAGGAAAGAAGGGAGAATCCAAGTTTAGGAACTGAAGAGAACGGACCAAGCTATAGTTCTCTAAACTTGTGACAACTGAAATTAAAAAGACTTCTTGGAACAGCTCTCAACACTCTTCTCAACAGGATGCAAAGGATATGAACCTCGGTAGTGTCTCTCGATATCTTGCAACCATTCCAACATATCTGCCACGGAGGGACTCACAACTGAGGGCCGAAGGACAGCATCGATGCCAACAGCGCCTGCATGCTGCTCATAGGTCTGAAACACGCGCTCCACATGGCTGCTGACCGTGTCACGCACACTGAGAAGGGTATCTCTGTGGGAAAAAGGCTGACGTCAGGCAATACCACAATAAAGGCAGGAGGTAAGGATTCTCAACCCTGGCCTTCCTGACATTTTGGACTGAATGATCCTGTGCTGCAGAGGACGGCCCTGTGCACTGTAGCATATTCAGTGGCATACCTGGTCTCTCTCTCTACTAGAAGACAGCAGAAAACCATGCTCCTATCTTCTCCAAGTCATGACAATCAAGTCTCTAGATGCTGACAAATGTCCTTCACAAAAATCCATCCCCAATCAAGACCCTGACTAAGGAAATTGCTGACAATGCCTTGCAGGTAGGGCTGGCTCAAGAATCAAAAACTGACTTACAGATAGAAAAGATAAAGAAGTTCTGAGGCTCTCAAAGCTATAAGACCCGTCACCAAAGAAAGTAAAGACCAAGGGGTATTTCTGAGACTGCCACATAACTGTACACGGAGAGCAAATTGTCCCAGGCTGCGTACAAGGCAAAGGAATGAGCAAGAGGTGACTAAAGCAACAAACTGACACCATCTACAAGTTCCCTAGTCCTTCTCTGGTAAATTCCTGAATGCTAAGTGTGATCTCAGGATAGACAGACTACTGTGGACCTCAGGAAAGTTAAACAGTCTCCCTGGTATATAAGGGTGTTTTGCTCACTGCACATCCAAAGCTTACAGATTACATATTAAAGTTTACAGACTAGCATTTGGAACAAGAAGTATTTGTTAAATGAGTCAATGAATGAATGCAAAGGGTAATTATAAAATTAAGTACAATAATCCATTCAAAGTGGTTAGAATAATGCCCAGCTTTTTATGGTAAATATGACTTCCTTAATGATTCTAATGTGTCCAGCCATCAAGACAAAAGCTAAAAAGGGCAAGGCAACAACTAGTTGAGAACAGTGGCTTTCAAAAATGTTTGACCATAAATCACAATGGAAAAAAAAAAAAGACAAAATAACCCAACACCACACACAAACACGTAATCAACTGATATAAAAGTTCACAGCGCAGGCTGGGTATTCGGCTCAGTGGTTCTGCCGCCCGAGGACCCGAGTTCGATCCCCAGTACCAAAAAAAAAAAAAAGGTTACAGAGCAATACTTGACCCTCGGAAACATTGTTTTTTACACTGTGAGTCCTTTTTTTTACACACTGACCAGCATTTAAAAAATACAATAAAATAGAAGACAAAATATTGGAGTCCTATTTTGTGGACTATTTCAGTTATATAATGTAACGTTGTAACTATAACATTTTCATCCACCGAAACAAGCCGTTTCCATTAGTAGTCATTTCTTCATTCTCTTCCTCTCAGCTCCAAGCAACCAGTTCCCTACTTTTTTTCTAAAATCTCTATAGAGTTAGTTCTAGGTATTTCGCAGAAGTGGAATTATACAACACGTTGGGGTTTTCTGGATCTGGTCTCTTTTACTTTGCATATTTTCAGGATTCATCCACGTTGCAGCATGTCAGTACTTAAGGGTAAGTACCAGTCCACTGTACAGATCTACCACAATGTTTTATCGGTACATCTGCTGGACGTTTGGATTTATTCCACTTGCTGGCCATTCTCAGTAACAGTGACTCTTACTCAATCCTTAAACAGCCACTGCTGAGAAGGAAGCCAATCAGTACAGAGCAACCGTGTTGATGAACCCAGAGGTTCTTGTGGATTTCTGCACCATCTCTCACCGAAGTCCTCAATCCAGAAGCAAGACATATAATCTATGGACCGTATGCTCCTAGACATAGCTAATGCATCCCTTCGTGAGCTGGCCTCTCTCTCCAATCTCGTTTCTTACCAGTCCCTGCTGCGGTTAAAGCAGTATCTACATAACACTATTCATACCTTCCTCCAGACCCAGCTTACCTGACCCAGTTTATGCGGGTTCATCCAGGTTTTTGATAAACTTCCTTTCGGAGGCTTCCTCTCAGCTCAAGGGGGCGTTCATCACTATCTCAGAACATACCACAACATAATTTAATCGACTATCTCTTCTACTCCACTAAGAACAGGAACTAAGTCTGATTCATCTTTGTATTCACAGTACCTTCTGCTTGGCATTCTACAGGTGCTTCATTAATGTTTATTTGTTTGTTTATTTATTTATTTATTTTGGTTTTTTGAGACAGGGTCTCACTATGTAGTTCATACTGCTCTGGAACTCACTGTGTAGCCCAGGCTGGTCTCGAACTCACGGCGATCCTCCTGCCTCAGCCTCCCGGGTGCTGAGATTACAGGTGTGTGCCACCACGCCCGGCTCATTAATGTTTCTTATTACAGATGTATGAAAGAATAAAATGAGTTTCCTATGAGTCTATGACACACACACTGTGCACTGGAACTTCCTTTTGTTCTGGGTCAAAGAGAAGCCATAAATGCCTTGTCTCTTCTCTGTCCTCAATAATCTATCGCCTGAGATAGAAGGTCTACTAATAGACAAAAGTCAGCGTTTGGAAGACATACTATCGCTGAGCAGAAACACCAGTGTTCAGCAGAACAAAGTGGTGGTTATGAGCTCTAGCTTTGGTGTCAGGCACACCTGGGTTAGAATCCCAGCTTATTGGTTACTAGCTCTGTGACCAGGGACAATTTGTTTGAACCCATGTCCTGGGTTGCAAAAATAGAATAAAATGAGTCAAGCTGCAGAGGTGTAAAAAGACTTTATGAGGTAGTGTATGTAAAACACTTAGTTCTGGTAACCATTAGCTTAAAATATAGTTCCTCATTGACTTTAACAAAGAAAAATATAGAGGAAAGCTAACAAGCCTTCTCCACTCTTTTCCTGCTCTGCTTTTTTAACTTCTACTAAGGCCACCATGGCCATGTCCAGCTTCTGGAAAGGAAAATACCAACCAGAAAATGGCTTTTTGGTAAAAGTCCTACTGCAGAAGAAGGAAAAGAGGAAAAGGTGAGACACTTCTAAATCCCACGTACTTGGGCCCGGGATTTAGCTCAGTGGTTCCGGCACCTGCATTGCAAGCGCAGGGACCCGAGTTCGATCCCTGGTATAAAAATAAATAAATAAATAAATAAGTAAGTAAAATAAATCCCATGCATTCAAGGAGAAAACCACCATCTAGCCCATCCTAACTAGTTATAAAGCACTCAGCTTTAAGATAACTCTGCCAAAAAGAGCGCCATGGAGACTCACAGCTTCTCCTCCAGCTTGTCCAGAACCGTGTCACCAGCCTCCAGTTGCTTGCGTCTCAGCCGCTCCTGTAAGTCTGGGAAGTCCCGAAGTGCAGGCACATCCTCAAATCGCAGGTTCCCTGCGGCCTGCAGCTGCTCTGCCAGGTTGCTGAGGGAGGACAGGAGGGGCTGGCAGTCCTGCAGAGTGCTCTGCCACAGGCCCTGCTGTTCCTCCACCACGGGAAAGCACTTCTTCAGGGCTTCCTGCACAGCAAGCAAATGCTGGTCTTGAGTCATCTTCTGCTAGAACAACAACAAAAATAGGGTCAGGGTGCCGAGTCAGTAGGAGAGGTACGAGTTCGAGGGCAGGAGTCATTCCCGACCTCGTGGGAGGTCTAGCGCTTGGCCTCCAGGTCCCTCCGGACAGGAACTTCTACTGGAGGCGCCGTCTCGCCCTCAGTTTTAGTATACGTGCTGCCGAAGCGAGCACGGTCTTACCTTCAGAAGCGGCTCTCTGAATAAGGACCCCTGCTTCTCACCCCGGGAACGGTGACCTGGCTATGACTCGGAGAAGGCGCCTTCGGGATAAAGCATCCCCTGCTTCAGACTGTGAATTCCCGGGGCCCGAGGCCCGTCTCCCCTCAGGCCAGCGCTTTTGGAACCGTAATCCGTATCCTTTCTTTGAGGCCACCTAAACCAGCTCTAAACCAACAGAAAAATGTAAAGGCAAACGAATCAAAATCTTAAACTCCTGCCCGGAACACCACTGTGCCTCACGCCCTCCGCGCAAACTCAAAAACAGCGACGCCCCCCGCCCCGCGCTAAACGTCAGTCTCCCGCGACTACTGATAGTAAGACTATGTCGTCAAACTGCAAAGACTTCTGGGCATTGAAGTCTAAGTGTGACTGGCTGCCTGGTGGTGGGACTTTCTTGTGATTGGGTGTTGTTGGACCGTCCTAAGACAGCGACGTCTCATTCGCTAGCCTGTGGGAGTTGAGTTTAAATTGGTTGGCGGTTAGGTGCAGAGCTGATCCTCAGCTACGACTGCGAGTTTTTTCTCGGCCCTTTCTACGTGATCCATAGGTTCGTGCTTCCCGACTTCTTTATTCCAAGACCCTGAAGGACGTTTTCCGCTCGTACTCTCTGCCTCTTCGCAGCCCCTTACGTTCCCTGCCCTCGTCTCCACCGCTGAACCCCTGTGGCTCAGTACCCGGATCCGCAGCCTCCACCCAAGCACCATGGCTCCTAGGAAGGGTAGCAGTCGGGCGGCCAAGACCAACTCGTTAAGGAGTCGAAAACTCGCCTCGTTTCTTAAGGACTTCGATCGTGAAGGTAAGGGGCGGATTCCCGGCCGTCGCAACTACCTGCGGCGATCGCGGGGTGCTGGAGGATTGGGGCGCCGGCAACATTGATTTACCCTCTTAGTGACCCCTGTCCTGTTGTCTCTGCGCTTTCGTAGTGCAAGTACGGATCAAGCAGATTGAGTCAGACAGGCAGAACCTCCTCAAGGAGGTGGATAACCTGTATAACATCGAGATCCTGCGGCTCCCCAAGGCGCTGCGCGAGATGAACTGGCTCGAATACTTCGGTAAGAGCTGTTAGTTTCCCCAGGCCGCGGCCTGTAGCCATCTGTGGTTATCCTGACAGCTTTAGAAAGGACTAACTCAGATGTCTCCTGCGGAAGGAGGTCCAACGTGACCACCTGTGGAAAGTTGCAACTTGGGACCGTAGCAGGAACTGTCATCCAGTGCCCATCCCCCAGCCCTGGGCAAAGGGCCAGGCAACAAATATTTCATTCTTCTTGGGCCAGAGGGTCCAGTCAACCTACTCAGAACAGATATAATGAATGGACTGTATTCCAATAAAATTTTATTTGTGGACACTGAAATGCAAATTTTACATAATTTTCAAACTTCACAAAATATTACTCGTATGTGTTTTCCAACTATGTAAAAACGAATGAATAAATGACTTAGTTTATTGGAGCTCAGCTGGAAGAGTTACCCCAAGCAACTCTTTCTGTAGCTTGTGAAAACTGTCCATTTAAAAATGGGCAAGTAGGGCCCTGGATTTAGCTCAGCAGTTCGGTGGCCTGCCTCGCAATCGCAAGGACCCGAGTGCGATCCCCGGTACCAAAAAAAGAAAAAAGTAAAAATGGGCAAATCAAGCCAGGAGTGGCGGCACAACACCTATAACCCTAACACTCTGGGAGGCTGAGGCAGGATTTCAGGTTCAAGTCTCACCTGAGCAACTTAGCCAATCTGTGTCTCAAAATAAAAATGGGCTGGGGATGTAATTTAGTGTAAAGACCCTGAGTTCAATCTCCAGTACGACTGCCCCCACCCCCACAAAGACTATATCACTTGTAAACTCCAAGGACGGGAGGATTTTTTTCTAACCAGAGAAAATTCCTAGCTTCTTTTCCCACCCCCTTATTAAATATCCAGGAGAATGCAATGACTGTCCTTTCTGCTGTACTAATTTCACTTTTTCTGTTTTCCTTATTATTAATAAATACTCAGTATGTAGCCTTCTTGGATAGAAATGTGTGTGATGCTCATGTAGATTTAAAATGATTCTTTTGACTTTCATTGTTATTTATTTAATTAGGCATTCACTCACAAAAGTTGAGTGTGTGATATTTACAATGCTATGTGCTGAAGATGCATCAGGGAATACAACAGACATTGTCCCTGTCTTTGGAAGCTTATGGGTTACAGGGGAAGGTTATTTAAAAATTCACCTACGGGCCGGGGATTTAGCTCATTGGTTCCACTGCCTGCCTTGCAAACACAAGGACCCGAGTTCGATCCCTGGCACAAAAAAAAAAAAAAAAAAAGTAAAAATTCACATACAATTCCAAGTATATAATTAGAATTACACAAAAGAGATAGCATTAAGTATATTTACATAACACTTCCTATTTCAAATGGGCATTACTCCAAATGTTTTACTTACATTAATTTTATTCTCATAACAAGCTAATTATTTACTAATATTATGCCTGTTTTAGAAATGAGAAAATCAAGGAACAGAGACAAAGGTTACTTTGCCCAAGGTCTCACAAGCTAGTAGTGGCAGAATCTATTTGAACACCAAGCATTCTGTTCCCAAAGCCTGAGATCTTAACTGTTATGTACAAGGGTATCTAGCAAGAGAATGGAACCAACATTTTTATTCTACATCTAAAATTCACAAAAACCTTTTCATTCAGCGCATATTTACTATGCCAGATTTTTGTAAGAAGCCATAGTATTAGCTCTAGAACTTGGCCCAAGGCAGGAGTGGACATTTAAACAACTTTGAGTTGCTTCTTGGTAGTTGAGTGTGCTGAGGGGGAGCTACTTAGCAATTTACTATTAACTGTGCAACTTTTTACAGTTTGCCAAAATCTATTATGATATAAGGGACATAAGCAGAGTTTTAGGGTGATGTTTGAGCTGTGTAGGTTTTTGTTGTTGTTGTTGCTTTTTTTTTTTTTTTTTGGTACCGGGGATTGAACTCAGGACCTTGTGCTTACAAGGCAGGCGGCAGAACCACTGAGCTAAATCTTCGGCCCTTGAGCTGTGTTTTTTAGGTTGAATGACAGATTTGTTGTATGCACAGGAGTGTTTTAGCTAGAGAAAATAGTATCATACGAGAGCACTGAATCCTGAGAATCAGTGTCACATTTGGGAAATAACAAGAACCGTGGCGTGGTAGAACATAGAATAATAGGTCAGGAGTTGGGAGAATCATGCTTGGAGAAAGATTAGACTAGATTGTAAAGGTCTTTCCATGTTGGGCCAAGCGCTTACTCTGGTTCAGTTTATAGAGAGAAAATTGATTGAACTAGGAAAGATGACTTATCATTCAAATCTGATAGTAACTAAATATAATGTTCTTTTTAAAGCTCTTGGAGGAAACAAACAGGCCCTGGAAGAGGCAGCAACAGTAAGTGACCTGTCTTATTTCTGGGCTGGCTAGTTTAAGATTCATCCAATCACAAAATTTAACCAATGGGGTACATACTGTAGAAGAGATTCCATATAAGGACATTATTTGTGTCAAGTGAAAAATTATAGTTATGGCAAGGCTGGGAATTTAGCTCAGTGGTTCTGCTGCCTGCCTTGCTAGCGCAAGGACCAGAGTTCAATCCCCAGGAAGGAAAAAAAAATTAAAGTTATGTCAAACACTGAGTACATGAAGTCCAAATAGGTCTGAGTCCTAAAAAGAGAGTATGCTATTATGGTACACAGTTCCTCCAGCCCTTATCTGTAAATTCCTCATCAGGATTCAATAACCATGGATTGAAGATATTTAGAAAACAAATTGCCTCCATAATAAACATGTACTGACTTTTCTTCTTATTCTGTAAACAACATTAAATAGGCTGAATTGGTGTAATTCTAGCACTCAGGCAGCGGCGGGAGGATTGCCACTGATTTGAGACCAGCCTCGACTATATAACAAGACCCTGTCTCCAAACAAAAAAAATTATATAGAATAATGACATTTGGGCCAGGGATTTAGCTCAGTGGTTCAGTGGCCTGCCTCGCAAGTGCAAGGACCTGAGTTGGATCCCCGGTACCAAAAAAAAACAAAAACAAAACAAAAAATAAAACTTCCTTATCTAGAATAATGACATCTACATAGTATTTACAATGTGTTAGGTATTATAAGTAATCTTGAGGTAATTTAAAATGTATGATAAGAGCCAGGCATGGTAGCACACACCTGTAATCCCTTGGAGGCTGAAGCAGGAGGATCACCTTGAGGCCAGTCTTCACTACATAGTTCAAGGCTAGCCTGAACTACATAGCAAGACATTGTGTCTAAAAAATAATAATAATAAAATAAAATGTATGACAGGATGTGCATATGTTATATGCAAATCCATGCCCTTTTATATAAGATCCCTGAACATTTGTGGAGTTTGGTATCTAAAGGGAGTCCTAGGAATAATCCCCCTGGATACCAAGGGATGACTGTATTTTTGGTTTTTGTTCACAGTTCTTGGCTCCTATACCCCTTGCAATTTCTTTTTCTTTCTTTCTTTTTTTTGATAGGGTCTCACTATGTTGAGACTGACCTAGAACTCACTGTGTAGCCCATGCTGGTCTCGAACTCACAGTGATTCTCCTGCCTCAGCCTCCCGAATGCTGGGATCACAGGCATGCACCACCATACGCAGCTTCCCCTTGTAATTTCTTATGTGACTTCAGCAAGAACATTATCTTTTGCTAGCCTGGACTACACAGCGAGACCCTGTCTCAAAAGCAGGGTGGGCATTAGAACATTTTTAATCTATGCCTTCTTTTTCTTTGTTTCTGTGGCCCATTTTAAGCCCATGATATAGACTCAGATCTAATATTTCAAAACACAGTATCTGTGGCTGGGGATGTAGCTCACTGTTTGCTTGCCTAGTATTTGTGAAGCCCTGGGCTTGATCTCCAGCATTACAGTCAGTCAATAAATTGCTGCATCCCTCTTTAAATTAATCAGGCATACAGACCTGCAAATAAGAGCTTCTGGTGTAATAGGAGAGAGATGCACTCACCACACCAGGCAAAGAGTTCTAGCTTTACCTCATATGATTTAAAACCCAGTGACGGAATGATACCTTGGTTCGAAAGCTCTTATATGGGAGGTGTGTTGGGGGCTCCCAAGACCACCACAAGTTTGGTGATTCACTAAGTGGACTCACAGGACTTAGCCAGCAAGTAATCACACTCATGGCAATCATTTATCCCAATGAAAGACACGAAGCAAACTCAGCAGAGGGAAAAAGCATATGGGGCAAAGTCCAAAGGAGACAGGTACGAGCTCCCAGGAGTCCGGTTCCAGTGGAACTGTGTGACACAGGCCAGGCTTCATTCAACATGTTTGCCTGAAAAGCTCATTAGAGACTCGGTGCCCAGGATTTTTACTGGGGGCTACGGAAGCATCTCTGCATAGCAGAACACAGTAGGCGTTCAGTATGAATTATATCAGTTGCACAAAATTTAGCAACAGTAAGCTATTCTTTTTGAGGTTTTTGAGGGGAGGGAGTTGGAGGTTTTGTTTGTTTGTTTTGATACCGGGGATCGAACTCAGGTCCTTGCACTTGTGAAGGCAGGCAGTAGAACCACTGAGTTAAATCTGGCCCTGTTTTTTGTTTGTTTGTTTTTTTTGAGACAGAGTCTCACAATGTAGCCCAGGCAGGCCTCTTGACTTTTTTTTTTTTTTTTTTTTTTTTTTTTTTTTTGAGACAGGGTCTCTCTATGTAGTTGAGACTGACCTGGAACTCACTATATAGCTCAGGCTGGTCTCTAACTCACAGCGATCCTCTTGCCTCAGCCTCCCAAGTGCTGGGATTACAGGTGTGTGTCACCATGCCTGGCCAGGCCTCTTGACTTTTGACAGTCCTCCTGCCTCATGCCTCAGCCCCAAGTGCTGGGATTACAGGTGTGTGTCACCATGCCTGGCCAGGCCTCTTGACTTTTGACAGTCCTCCTGCCTCAGCCTCCTGAGTGCTGGGATTATAGGCATGCGCCACCACACCAGGCCAAATGAGCTATTCTTACAATAGAATGGTGAGAGTCCTGAAATCCAAGTTCCCAGATGCCAGCCAAGGTCCAATCCTGCAAACAGGCCTTGCTACTGTGTATCAGGCTTAGACCTACTGTGTTAACTCGTATGTACTGTGTATGTCCTGCCACCAGTGACAACTTTACTATGTGCCACTTGTTAGTAGAGATGGCAGAATGTTGACAGGAATGCCACCACTTCATTCTATCAACCATGGTGGACATCACTAATCTATTACAGCACTGTAAGTCGCAACAGCCTCAGAATCCTTCTCTGAGCACTGCACATAATCCCTACCAATCATATGTGAAACCTGGGCCATCCCCAGTCTGCAATAACTAGGCAAAGGTTTACATGCATCCCATGAGGAAAAGACTACAACTGCTATTCCCTGTACCTCTACAGATGGATGGTCCCAAGCATGAACAAATCGAATTAGAATGGTTACTCCAGGGAAGCCTTTTTGAAGGTCCTAGGAGCATCAGTGAGACGCAGTAGCCTTACCAAAAGAATGAGAAGTCTGACACAGGATCAAACGTTATAGAGGACGTGAACCATTAGGAACTGGTGTTTGCAGATGGGCAGTAAGCAGGTATAACTTTAGGAAACAGTTTGGCACAATATCAAGAATGACATTCATGGAACTGGTAACACTGTAATGCCACGTCTTCCCAGGTGTATATCCAAGAGAAAACTTGATATCAAATGCAACAGGCACATATTTAAGACAGTTCAAAGTGGCAGTTCATAATGGCACAAAATTTATTCATGGGAGAATGAATAAATCCATTATGCTGTAATCATGTAGGATATTATATAGCAGTAAAAATAAATTACGTACAACCACAAATAGTGGTAAAAAAACAAGCAAAACCACCAAAAAATTTAAGCATAGTTTTCGCATTTGTGAAAAAGTATGTTGTATGTATACACAACTGTGTGTGTGTGTGTGTGTGAGCACACTCAGATGCCTACACTTTCTTTTAAGCAAGTGGAATAATAGTGATTATCTCTGAGCAATGACAGGATTAGGGAGACTGGTCACCTTTAGAGGCAAAGAAATGAAACAGGGACAGAATACATGGCTAGAGGCAAGTTATCCGCAGTGTTTTTTGGTTTTGGTTTTGGTTTTTTTTGGTGGTACCTGGGATTGAACTCGGGACCTTGCACTTGCAAGGCAGGTGGTGGCACCACTGAGCTAAATCCCCGGCCCAACCCACAGTGTTTTCATTTTGGATTGTATGACAGTTAGTTTATGAAAGTTCACTATATTGTAACTCACACCTTTTTTGACAGGTATCAAATAAAATGTTTTTAAATTTTTTTTTAACCTTAATATGCTGTTTCTCCCATTGGATTAAATAAACCTGGTAATTTCCTGCTGTGTTTGCGACAGGCTGATGTGGATATCACAGAAATAAACAGACTAACAGCAGAAGCTATTCAGACACCCCTGAAATCTGCCAAAAGTGAGTACTTTTCAAAACCCTTATTGATCAGAAAGAGGCTGAAGTCTGAGGAGCAGGGCCTCCTTCTCTCTTTCCGGTCCTCGATCTTAGAAATCCAAAAATTTGATTTGAGCTGCTGCATTCAGTTAGTTGTAAATAGGGCTGTACTAACCAATCTCATACCACTGATGTGGGGAGTAGGGGGAGACTGATGTGTGCGCTGACATCAAACTGAGAAGAGGAAATGAACAACTGTGTGAAGCCAGGCTCGGTGGTGCACACTGACGACCCTAGCACTTTGGGAAGGCCAGGCAAGAGGATCCCAAATCTGAGCCCAGCCTGGGTCATTTAGTGAAACCCTGTCTCAAAAAATAAAAAAAGGCCAGGCATGGTGGTACACACGTGTAGTCCCGGCACTCGGGAAGTTATTAAACGTTAGTGAGGACAGACCTGACCCTTGGCCTGGATGTGGAAACCTTATTTCACTGACAAGGGCCAAAACACTGTACACTTCTAGTCCGACTGGCTTTCCATCAGAATTGCCTTGCAGAGCGAGGAGAGCATGAGATGTTTGCTTTCGTAAGGACGTGTTCTAGTCCTAGCTCCCTCAAGTTATGACAGAACTGGGCTTGAGCATTCCTAGAGTTCCTCAGCCATATATTTACGCTCAGGTCACTTTGGGTCATTTCTACATTTAAGTAATACTGGTTTCTCTTTTCAGTTCCATCAGTTTTGCTTAGTTGTCATTGATGATGAGGGTCTTAATGATTTTACTTTTTGAAACTGAACCCACCAGGACCACTGCACTTCAATATATTATAAACAGTTAAAAGATAAAGAGAAATTCTAATACATCAGAGCTGTAGCTGACAAAAAAGCTTAAAGCCTTTAGTCCAGTCTCGCCCCCCACCATGATTAAATCCATGAACTCTCTATCAAATCCCTACTCAGGATAATATAGCTCCTGGTTGTATGCATTTAGTGGTGAAACGTTCTACATTTTATTACTGGACAGCTGTGATGATGAGAAAGTTCTTCTAATTTTGAACCAAAGTTTCTTTGTGGTATCTATGTATCAATACTAGTTCCATTTTTGTGGTGCCCCAAAAGAGCTATCTTTCTTAAGACAAGCCCTTAGATATTAAAAATTGGAGTGCCAGGACTTTAGCTCAATGGCACTGCGCCAGCCTTGTAAGCACAAGGTCTTGAGTTTGATCCCTGGTACTGAAAAAAAAAAAAAAGAAAGAAATTGGGTTCTCACTGGGTGTGGTGGTACACACCTGTAATCCCAGCACTTGGGAGGCCGAGGCAGGAGGATTTCCCCAAGTTTGAGGCCAGCCTAGGCTGCATAGTGAGTTCAAGGATAGCCTGAGCTGCCTTGCGAGACCCTATCTCTTAAAACCAATATATAAGTAAATAAAGATTTCAATCTTTCAGTTTAAACATCCTTCATACTCCTTTTTCTCCTAAAATGATTGTTTTATTTGTTTGTTTTTTTAAGAGGCATGAGAAGGATTTATTAGAGGAAGATATAAGATGCAGTTGAGCGAGTATGGTGCTCAAAGAAATGAGGCGCCTCTCCTAAAACAACTGTAATGATAATTTTATTTATAAATAACATTATAATAATACTTATTTTAATTTGTGTCTGGGCTGTAGATTGATTCATCTCACAGATACTTAATAAGCACCTAAAGGTCCATTTCTAGGGTCTAGGGATACAGGGATAACAGTAACGACCTATGCTTGTGGAATACCTGTTCCAAGCTTCATAACAACCCTGTAAAGTGATAGCTCCCTGTTAGAGATGAGGAGACCGGAATACTTTTTTTCTTTTTGGTACCAGGGATCGAACTCTGGTCCTTGAGCTTGCGAGGCAGGCAGCGGAACCACTGAGCTAAATCCTTGGCCTGGAATACTTTCGATTAAAGCCTTTTGACCTAGTAAATAGTAGCTCCATACCTCAGGTCCGAGTCTGACTTAATCAGAACGCAGGCCATCCCTAACAAGCATCAGCCATCATAGGGTGACGATTGGCTTCCTTTGTTTAAACTGCCCTCTTCTTGCTGGGCATGGTTGTCCACACCTGTGATCCCAGCCCTTGGGAGGCTGAGGAAGGAGGGTCACCACAAGTTCAAGACCAACCTGAACTAATGGCAAAACCCTGTCTCTTCCTTTAAAAAAAATGAATTTCTGGGACTCAGGGTATGACTTGATGGCAGAATTTGGATGCCTTGAATGCACAAGGCACTGGATTCAATCCTCAGCCCCACCAGACAGAAAAACAGTATGTGGGCCGGGGATTTAGCTCAGTGGTTCTGCCACCTGCCTCGCAAGCGCAAGGTCCTGAGTTCGATTCCTGGCACCAAAAAAATTTTTTTGAAGTGTGTGAAGCCTATTTCTTGATTATAGTCTCACATTGCATAAGTTGTTCCTATAAGAAAAGTGAATGCATTCAAGGTTCCATCAGAGATCACATGCTATTCAATCTGCTTCTTCATAGAACGAAAGGTAATACAAGTGGATGAAATGATAATGGAAGAAGAAGAAGAAGAAAATAAACCTAAGAATTTTCAAACTGCAAGAGTAAGTAGGAATTCAGGTAAAGTGATCATTAGAGGAAGAAGCCAGTAGGTTCTCCCTATACTCATTAGGACACAGTCTGTTCAAGGTAGGTGAGGTTCTACTAGCTAGAAAAAAAAAGGGGAGAATATTCCATGTAGAACTACACAAGTGACCATGTGAGGAACAGGAAGAAGTTTGGTACGGCTGGAATAGAAACTAGGGGTAGGGGTAAGAGCGGGGACAAGATAATAGTTGGCCTGTGTGCCGAGCTAGGAAGTTTCCAGTCGGGCAGCTCTGTAATGGTAACATCAGATTGATATTTCAAAATGGAATTTAGTGTCAATGCAAGAAGAGAAAACAAAGAAACCAAGCAGGCTGAACTGAGGCAGAGTGAAAAGCGTGGGTGGTTTTGAGATGTTTTACGAAGGACACTGGGCGTGATCGGTGGAAGAAGGAATCGGAGGTGACAAATGCTTTCTTGCGTAGGCGGCTGCCATTCGATGAAACTGGGACCCAGGAGGCAGAGTGGTGGTTTAGGTTAGAGTGAAGGCGGAGCCAGTGCCAGCCGCTTGACCTGCTAAACGCTAAGTACTTTTCCAGGACGTCTAGGCCAGATGGGAATTTTACCTGGAGCTCAGAGAGAAAGAGGAGATTGAGAGACCCACTGACTCCCAGATCTTGAGGTTCTTGTCCCAGGATAGGAGGAGAAAAGCTTGTACGGGGAGAGTGTAAGGGAGGAGAGCCGAGGGTAGGCACCGGAGGAAGGCGGGAAGGGGCTCCTAAGGCAGACTGTGCAGGGACAGCCAGAGACGGAGAGAAACTGGGTCAGTCCGGAAGACAAGAGAAGAAAATCATCGGGCATTAAGGAGCCACAATCAGGTACGACGCGGGCAGGGAAGAACTGCAAGCAACAGTACAGAAAGTAGTGCCGGTGAGCCAGGCTGCAGTCAGGTAAAGGCTTGTGCCTGTAAATGGCCCAGACCTTTGAGTTTGTGGTCCCAGCCAGTCTGCGTCTAGAGTAAGCCAGTATAAGTCGGTTACTTAGGCTCTGGATATTTTCGTCGTCTGTGAGGCGGACGTTCTCCTGCGCAGTGCGTCTTCCCTTCCAGAGCTGGTTCTCCTTTTCTCACCCTCCCTCCCTCTCCCTCCTGCTGGGCTTTGTATAACCTCAGTTTTGCTTGATTGTGACTTCAGGTCAAAAGGTGTCCTCCATCTAAGAAGAGAACCCAGTCCATTCGAGGAAAAGGCAAAAGGTAACAGGCTTTCCAAAGTTAGGTATGGTTTGGGTTTGTTTGCGAACTTTATACAGCAGGATGTGTTTGCTCCCGCTGGCCTACACCAGTGCCTTCTCAGTGCGTCTGCCACGTTCTCTCTCTTCCCCTACTGTTTAGTTTTATTTTGTGTGCAGTACTAAGAATTGAACCCAGAGACTGCTGAGCTACATGGCCAGACACTTACGTTGTTTAACTTTCGGACAAGGTCTCACTCACTTCCCTAGGTGGGCCTTGAACTTACGATCTTCTTGCCTCCCGAGTAGCTAGCATTATAGGTATGTGCAGCCTCCCCCACTTTTTTTTTTTTCAACCCAAACAAGGAAAATAAGGCTCAGAAGAGTATCGTAGGAACTGCATACGATGTGGACTTACTTGACGGTCCGTGTACAGATACCGAGCTGTCACCTTCCCATAATTGGTTTCTTGAAACCACTCGGTCCATGGGCCGGCGTTGATTACGCTGGGCTCCACTGTAGACTGAGAGCACAGGGCACAGCTTAGGAAAGCAGGCGTACAGATGCCTGTGTCTGTGAGTGAGAAAGCTGCTCGTGTCTCCCTGGATGCAGCGAGGCAGCAGGACATTAGCCAGGTGCCTTGCGAGAGGACAAGAATTCTAGCTGGGGGGAGTTTGCATTGCCAAAAGGTAGTTACCTGAGCTTGGCTGGGAGTCCGGTGCTAGAGACCGACGGCTTGTGGTCAGAGTCCGGCTCTTCTCCAACGAGCTGTATGATCTTGAGCAACTTCTTTAAACTCTGTACCTGAGTTTCCCCATCTGTCAATGAAGATGTAAACCGCGCTTCACTCAAGGCGGCTGGGAGGGTCAGTGTCCGATATGATCGGCGCTGTCCACGTTACCTGTCTCTGCGGCCACTGACGCTGTTGTTGCACCTGAGAACTGACATACTTCGTGGCTGTTTCTTACCTGTAGGTCAAGCTATGACAACCTTGTGACCCCAGCCGTGGGCCGATTGGAGTTGTCTCTGGTAAAGCCAACTCCAGGCATGACACCCCGGTTTGACTCCAGGTAAGCAGTGCTTGGCTGCAGGTGGGAGCCCAGCAGCGAGTAGCACTCAGATAAGATGGGGAGTTTAAGAAATGCTGCAGAGCCCTTGGACTGGGAGCCCGAACCTGGGAGCCATCTCAGTTTAGCACTGTTCGCCTCCCGAGTGCAGGTTCGCCTGTTTTCAGTAACAGAACTGACGATCCTGGTCAGAAGTTTTTGAAAGCTGGGTAGGCACTTTACTATACCCTTGATCAGAGCGAAAATTGAGGCCACCTTTTTGGAGGCTAAATGGATGAACTTGTTTATAGCACAAAATAATACCTTCCACGGGGGCTAGTTGACAAAGTGGAAAATGCTGTCTAGTCCTTACAAGAGACTGGATGTGCGTGTGCTCCAGGGAAGGGGCTACACGGTCAGGTTGCTGGACAGTGTGTAACGTGATCCCACGTGCTTTATATACATGGAGGTTTTCCGGAAACGTACAGTAGGAATTACTTAGTTAATTACCTGGGGAGCGGAGCAAGAAGTGCTTATCTCTGGGGTAGAGACAACGAGGAATTCTTCCCCTTTTTTTAATTCCTGCTTTTCTGCTTATTCATACGAGCACGTAGCAAGAGACATTTAAGGGAAAATGGGAGCCACACTTGAGCATTGAGAAAGTTGGTTTGGGGATTCGTATCATGATCTAATTGGCGTCGTCTTCCTTTGACCCTAGGAAGTTCCCCCTGACGGAAACACTTAGGCATTCTCAGGGAACACATTAACCAGTCTATTTCTGGCTCTATGGATGGGTGGATGACTGGCACCCATGTGGAGCTTTGGTCCTAAAATGTACACAGATAAGGGTTGACTTTTGGGAGATGTATGTTTGATAATTACCGCCTCCTTTCTCCAGCTGTGTTTAGTCATTACTGCTTTTTAAAAAAAAAAAAAAAAAAAAAAATTGCCTCTAAATTTAGAACTCACTTTCTTAGAAATGTGTGATTTGAAAGCTGCAGCTTGAAAACCAGCTGGGGGTTGGATGGGCTCACTGCATCTGGTATATCATTCACGTTTGCAAAACCATCTTCACAGTGCTTCTCTGCTTTGTAGGGTCTTCAAGACCCCAGGCCTGCGCACTCCAGCAGCCAGAGAGCAGATTTACAACATCTCCGTCAATGGCAGCCCCCTCGCTGACAGCAAAGAGATCTCCCTCACTGTGCCAGTGGGCGGAGGCGCGGTTAAGTATCGCCGCCGGAACCAGGCCAAAGTGCACTGCTCGCTGAAGCAGTTCTCTGTCTGAGCGCTGCCTCTCTCCCTCAGAGTCCTTTCAGTTGCATGGGTCTGGTCTCCATCAGAATCCAGTTTTCTGTACAGTTGCAGGGCCGGACTGGGAAGGTCCCTGCCTGGCTCGGGGTTCTGTCGGTTCATCACCTACCAGTACCCAGGGATTACAGCAGGCTCAAAGTGAAGACGCGATTCCTGCCCAGTTCAGGAGTCAGACAGGCCCTCAGCTGTAACACCTGTAGTATGTGCGATAATAGAGCTATCTTAAAGAGAGTGCAGAGGAAGGGACCTCTGGGCTATGTGTCGTGTGTAACAAGGGCAGCACATGAGCTGTGTCTTCACATCCGAGATGTTCAGGAATTCTAAAGCACACTGAGCCTGGTTTCTCTGGGCGGAGAAGAGCAGGCTGTTGACCTCAGCCCCTGAGAGGGGAACGGCTCATCTCAGTGTGGTCTGCATGGCATTTCCGAGCCCATGCGCATGCCTTGGTACCCGGGTGATCTTGCCAGCAGCCAGTAATAGCACCAATGGTGTCATTGTCTCAGGCCTAACACCCCTCCTGCCTACTTTGCTGTTGCTCCATCTCGGCCATTCCTGCTACCGTGCGCAGGATATCGGGGGACCCCTGGGCTGCTGGGTGGACGTGTCTGTCTGGGAAAGGACATGCCAGTTTGAGCCATTCTTTCTCCACACAGAGCATGCGGTTATTGGCCAGCGACTTGCAGAGGATTGATATTGCACAGCTGGATCCGGAGGCCTTGGGGAACATTAAGAAGCTCTCGGTGAGTCTCATTCACCGTCATCTAGTGTCTTGGTTTAGCTCTCTTTAAGACTGTCCTTTGGGTCTGGCCTAATACTTAATCCTCAAAACCGTCTCACCTCCTCCCCGCCAAGAGGTGTTTGACTATTTTTGTACTTAATAGCAGCAGCTTACTCCCTATATTGGTGTAGAGGTTTTGGTCAATTCCCAATGCCTGGCATTGAGGCTCTAACGTTCTGCCTCAGACAGTTGGGGCCAAGGTATTCCCGGGCCCCCTGGACCGCAGGAATTGGAATTTCCTTATAGTAGTCAAGGAGGGGAGGAGCTTGTTTGAAGGGTTCCCACAGAATCCCAAAAAGAGCTCCACAGCCCGGCCTGCAGTTCACGGGGTCTGCACCGCTGCACCACCCCAGCCCTGGGCCTGACGCTCATTTCTCTTTGCACTGCTCCTTCTCCCTCAGCACCTGACCTCCACAGGGCTCTTGCTTCTGCTCTCCCTGAATACTGACTCAGGCGTGTCTTCGGGGGACCACACCTCCAGCTCTTAACTTTATTGTTCCAGTGCCAACCCTGCTCAGTTTCCTCTCTTAGTTTAAATTCTCAAGGGGAAGAGTTTAACACCCAGGTCTGATCTGATAAACCCCCTGGTCCAGTTATCTGTGATCTTGGGTGGTAGGTGGGAGCCCTGCTAGGCCTACCCTTCCGTGGGGCCCTGAAGGGCAAGCCAAAGGCGGGGGACAGGGGTGGAGCTGGGTTCCCCCACACACACACCCAGCCACCCAAATCTTGTGAGTGTAAGCACCGCTATCTCCATATACTCATATGATACCTTCACTATCTCAAGATGATATTTTACCCCGGTCACTGAGTACGTGATACAGACAGACAGTGGCGGGCAAAGATTCACTCGGACCTGTGCTTGGGTGGAGTGTAAGTGGCTGACCTGAGGGGCATTTGTGCCAACTGCTATCTTCCCAAGTGACTTTCTAACTCCTCTTTTTAGAACCGTCTCGCCCAAATCTGCAGCACCATACAGACCCACAAATGAGAAGACAGCAGAGCAAGGCAGACTGGAACGTGCACCCCTCCCCCTTCTCCTCCTATTTCTCCTCCTCCAGTGCAGCAGTAGCGGGTGTACTAAGGGGGCTCTGGAATCTTTCACCTGCTGTGCCCAGCACTTCGTGTCAAGCTGATTTGTGGAACAGCATTTTTTGTTTATTCCTGTTTATCAAAGACCAAAAATTGCTTGGAGACAGCTTCCAGTCTTGCACCTCTACCTCTAGTTAATGGGAGTTTAGATAAAGGAATTGTAGGGCTTAAGAGTAGTCTAAGGTTTTACATGACCAACTGCAGAGTAACTGTCTCTAAGCGCTCTGCTCCCGTGGTCCCTGCTGAGTCTGCCAACTGCAGCTTCTGGGGATGGGGTCATCCAGAGGACAGTCGTTACTTGTCTGGTGACCTCGTTCCATGTGGTTTCCCTATGTCCAGGACATGGACTAGTTAGTTACATGAAGTCACAAGTGAGACCTTGTGCTTCGGTAGCCGCTGCCCCGAAGAACTATGTCCTGTGTTCCAAGAACTTAAGAACGAGCTTTCTCATTCCCCGGCTTGTGGGCACATAGCTTCCCCTGTGTGGCTCTTTGTTATATTTTGTTATTACTTCAGTCCTGCACAGACCGAATCGTTTTCAAGTTGTTTTATTCTCCCTTTTCCTAAGACTTTTGTACATACTGTTTCCCTGAGTAATGGTATCCCAACTTTGAATAAATTCTGGTTTGCTTTGGTTTTTTAATTAATAGCTTCATCTGTGCCACATGAATTAGGGTGACAGTTCAGGGGCTAAAGCTGTTAGAGTGGGAGTCACTGGACAACTGCTTTCCTCAGGAGGTGTGAAAACCCTTCCTGTCGGCAAAATCTTTCCAGTACCTGAAGGGGGTTCACACCCCAGATCCAGGGCCCAGTGACCTCAACCCCCAAGCAGGTTTCTCCAACTTCAGCAGCTACACGTTTGCGTTTAGAAGAACAAAATCAAGGCTGTCTACAGTAAAGCTGTGGAGTGAAATTTCCTCGGCCAGAACGGAGCAGGAGTGAGGCGACTTGGTGATCGTGCTGCTCACCCTTCAAGTCGCCAAGCTCTGACGGACCTGCCTTCCCAGGACCTCCCACACTGCAGCGGTCAGCTCAGAGCACACAGTGTCCAAGGGTTCTTCCTACGGGACATTAGTCAGCCAGCTTGTTGGACACAGACGGTAATGGAGAGCCCTTTCATAAGTGACATTGTTTGGCAGAAAGATTATTCAGTGCAAGGAAGTAACCACACCTGAGGCTTCTGCCTGGTCCTCTTCTACTGCACCACTGGGGAAGAAGGGCTGACTTTAAGAAGCACCTAGTCGTGGCGCACACCTGTAATCCCAGCACTCCAGAGGCTGAGGCAGGAGGATCGCTGTGAGTTCGAGGCAAGCCTGGGCTACATAGTGAGTTAAGGGCAGTCTCAACTACATAGTGAGATCCTGACTCAAAAATCAAACAACAACAAAAAGAAGCACCTAGAAGCCAACATGTTTTACCCAGGGCAAGGTTCACCCTAGTTCACACCACTGCCACAATGAGCCTCGTTGTAGGAAATGGCTTAGTATGCAATAGGTGCTGAATCAAAGCCTGTGACGGAGATAGGCAATTCCATGCTACAGAACAAGCTAGTGCGGTTTTTTGCTTTGCTTTTGCTTCTTGTTTTTGTTTTGTTTGTTTGATGAGAGATTTTTGCTATGTAGTTGCAGGGTCTCATGTGGCTCAAAGCCTTGAACTCACTGTATAGCCCAGGCTGGCCTCAAACTCACAGTGATCCTCCTGCCTCAGCCTCTCATGTGCCGGGATTACCCACATTTGCCACTGTGCCTGACTGGAAGAGGCTGGTTTAGAAGGTAGAGTTCCCCACCGCAGAAGCTCAAGGCATGGACTGAACTATGTCACAAGACTGGGATATTGCAAAAAAAATTTTAAATCTTAAGTGTCAGCCCACAGACATTTCACCCTCACATTTTTGGTTGGTTTGGGTTTTTGGTTTTTTTGTTTGTTTTGGTTTTTATTTTAAATATTTGGTAAGTTGCTATAATTTTTTAAATTTTGTTTTGTTTTGAGACAGGGATTTGCTATGTAGTTCAGGCTGGCCTTGAACTCACTATGTAGTCCAAACTCGTGGCAATCCTCGTGCCTCAGCCTTCCAAGTGCTGGGATTGCAGGTGTGTATCACACACCCAGTCCTAAAAATTTTTTTAAATTTTGTTTTGTTTTGTTTTTTGAGACAGGGTCTCACTATGTAGTTGAGACTGCCCTTAACTCACTGTGTAGCCCAGGCTGGTCTCGAACTCACATTGATCCTCCTGCCTCAGCCTCCTGAGTGTTGGGATTACAAGAGTGTGCCACCATGTCTGGCTAATTTTTGAAAAATGTTTTAATCTATTTTAAAATTTTTGATCTATATTTTAATATAAATTTCAGAGCATGAAATATAACATTTTCCTACTTTTCAAATTTTTACATATTTTTATCTGAAATACAGTATTTATAAAACTCATCGCTTCTCAGCCTTTTGCTAAGATCAAGTGTATAAAACTGCTCAACAACATCACTCGAGTTGTTCACTTTTGAGTGATTGTACTGGAGAGAATCTTCCTCATCAGGTAACTCGGAGATTAGCACACTTTCGTGGTTCTTGAGTACAACCAAGAATATGGTATTGATAATGAGGTGTTACGTACTTAACATAACTCCAAACAGTCAAACGATAAAAGGGCTGACTTTTAAACTTAAAATAATGAAATTTGAAAATATGTTTAGAAGTACCCTTCTCCAACTACTGTTAATACCTTTCTTTATGCCTTCACAAAGCAGGCTCTGGAAAGCACGTCGCATTTTCCCACAGATGCCTGTGCGGGGCAGCCATTAATCTGTGTCATGCCCTTCGCCTGGGCAGGTGGCTCTCCCTAGCTGACACTACCGTCGGCTCACTGTTCGCCTTTGCAAACTTGCTCCCTGCCTCTGGTGGGCTCTCGTTTGTTCTTTGCCCTGCTCTTGCCTTTCCTCTGAGTCTCTGTTCAGCTCCGGAGGGCTTCTCTTTCTCCTTTCCCATGTTCCTCATTTCTCTGGATCTCCTGGTCAGGAAACTGCCTTTGTCTTAGAATTTGATCCGCCTTGTTTTCTGTGATTTCTTTCTCCAGATTGAATACTGCTTGCTTCCCCCATCTCTGTATCATTGTTTTCATATATTTCCTTCCTTTCATGTGTTCTTCCTTTCCTTTGCTCCTCTCTTCCCTCTCCCCACCTTCTCTCATTGTATCGATCGTGATCATTCCGTTGTCTCGTCCTGAAGAGTATTTCTCCCTTTTCCACTCTGTCATCTCTCTCTCTCTGGTCTCTACCCCCCGGGTTTATCTTCTTGTTCACCTCTTCTGGTGGGGATCTATGACTGCTTTCTCTGGACCTGAGAACTCTGCTCTTTGGTGGTCACGGTCAGTGTAATAGCTTCCCTGGCCTCTGGAGTTTTCCTGCCTCTCTCGGTGTGGATCGTCCTTTTTCTCCTGCCATTGGGACTTGGAGCTTTTGGGTGGTGTTTGACACTATGCCTCTTCACAGATGACTTGGGTTTGATCCTTGTGATGCTCGGAGTAATTCCCATGAGTCTCTGATCCTTTCCCTTCCGTCTTCACACTTAGTATCAAAGTCACCGTCTGGAACTGAGTTTTCCTCCTCCTCTACACAAGTCTGGAGAACTCGTGTGTCCTGTGGTGTTCTGCTCTTCACTGACTTCATCTGAGTAGTGTCTTCATTTCCCTAGCTTCATTCTAGAACGGTTTCATGAAAGCTACTCCTTCACCAGCTGTTTAGTAGGTTCCTATAAAACCCCCTGAGATCCTTCTGTTTCTTGTGTGGCGGCCCCTTTTCTTCAGCTCTTGCAGTTTGTTTTTGTTTAATAAACAGATGTCACAGATGCCTCTTTATAGGGCCGGGGGTTTAGCTCAGTGGTGCCGCCACCTGCCTCACAAGCACAAAGACCCGAGTTCAATCCCTGGATTGCCCCCCCCGACAAAAATGCCTCTTTATCATCAAATTTTTATTTTTCAATTTCTTGTTCTCTGTGTTTTCCATTATTTTTCCTGTTCCTTTTTTTGGATCTCAATGGCTCTTAGTAAGTTGTGGGTATACTTGGGCTTTGTCTTTGTAATTGGGATTACTTTCCTCCTTCTGTCATTTATACACTCTGTAATCTTCTGCATTCCAGTTTGGTCTGTTTCATGGCCTGCTTCTCAGCAGCTCCCTTCTGAACACTGTCACTCACAGAGTTATCATCATCATCAGAATCTTTCCCAAACACTCGTAGTTTTTGCAAAATAGGGGTGCAATTTCAGTGTTTTCTTTGGCAAAATAAGCCTATGCCTTCTGCCTAGAATTGCCATCTTGCTCCTGTCTCAGTTGCTAGCAATTTTAAAAATAGGGACCTTTCATGAAGATCCTAGCCTCCAAAAATGAGATCTGGCAGCGCAGGCCCACAGTCAGCTAGAGGGGAGTAGCAGCTTCCCTTGGCCTTGGAGAAAGGATCCTCTCTGGCACCAGGAAATCCCTGAGATGACTTCTGATGTCACCTACCTTCTTCTCTCTGGGCAGTTTAGTTTGTGTCATTTCCTACAGGTATAAAACAACTCACAGCAGAGCTGCTCTAGGCCAAGGGAAGACAGGAGCCTGGAGCCCTCCCCCAGGACCTCAGACAGACTCAGGGACCCCCGCAGAGCTCCAATAAAGAGTAGGTTCCTCAGTCCCCTACCGGGCTTTCCCAGGAGCCTACCTGGGGCTTTGTGTTGAAAGTAGTGCCTTAGGAGGAGGAGCTAGATTACTCATGAAGAGCTAATGCATGGGGGGCGGGGTGAGAATAGGGTATCACTAGGCATGTTTCAAACCACCAGACCACCTTCTCAGGGGAGTAACCCATCTCTACCAATAATAGTTGATGTATCAATGCAGGGCTTACCTCCTCAGCTTGCCCCCTGAAAAGCAAGTATATTTCAATGCCTAAAGTGTGCATAACCTCTAATAATGCTTTCCTTTTTTATTTTACACACTTGAAATTCAACATGAAAAACCAAAAAAACAAAACAAAAACAAAGGCCCGGCGTCGTGGCGCACTCCTGTAATCCCAGCACTCGGGAGGCTGAGGCAGGAGGATCGCTGTGAGTTCGAGACCAGCCTGGGCTACATAGTGAGTTCCAGGTCAGCCTCAACTACATAGTGAGACCCTGTCTCAAAAAACCAAAAAAAAAAAAAAAAAAAAAAACACGATACATGTTTAAGACTTTCATACTAAATAATTTATGTGGTTTCAGAAATAGAAGCGCTGAAAGACCCCAAAGGTCCAATCAGAATCGGGGACGACTCAGTGGGAGCTCCCTCATGTAGTGAAAATCTGGAACCCAAATTGCTTTATCTAAGTGCCATCTCTGTGGACAGGATGTGGTGTTTCTTTAGCCTTTTATCCTTCCGGTACCATCCTACCTATCAAATATGTTGCCTCTCTCCAACCCCTCCCTGACAGCCTGCTAGGACTTGCCTCTGCACTGCTGTCAACTTCCCCTTGGTTGATACTGGGGTTTGTGTAACGTTTTCTGAACCTCGGTGATGGGCACAGTGGAAGATAGATGTATGCTTGACACCGAGATACCATATCTGCATGTTCAGTGCCCACAAGCACGCTGCATGACACGTGCCGAGGCCCATTGGAATGGAGACTCTGTCTCCAGGAATACACCTCAAATTGCTTGCAAAGGTCACATGGCAAACCCCATCCTGATGTGTCAGAATGTGCCAGCTGGTGGTCAAGAAGAACGTAATGGAAAAAAAAAAAAAAAAAGACCTGTAAGGTGTGTGCAACAGGGAAACAAATTTGGAGTAGTTTTGGAGATTGCCCCCCCCCTTTTTTTTGTTCCAGGCATCGAACTTGGGACCTTCTGTGGCTGAACCACTGAGCTAACTCCCTGGCCCTACACAAGTAGTTTTGGTCAAAGCATCTCCCTCGTCTGCTGCCAAGATGCTGATAGCATCATGAGGTCGTCCGTGATGGGAATCAGTTTCTGACTTTTCTCTGCTGCCCCAAGACCTCAAGGCCCCACCTAAGAAAACAGGTGGGACATTCCTAAGGAAAATATACTGGCAGGCACTTCAATTTAAATGGCAAGGGAGTATACAGAGGTTGAAGATGGTGTGGTATGGTAAGTTTCATTCACCTCCTAAACAGCGTGATGGGTGTTATGTTAGGACCTGAGGTGCCCTCCTCTGATGTCTAGAACTCAGGTACCAGTTAGCAAAGGCAGCGAACTCATCATTGGGTTTCCCCATGCTCCAGGGGGCCTCCTCCCTCCTTCCCAGGGACTAGTCAGGCAACGCTCTCCTGCGGGCTCCCGAATGCCGGCCTAGTCAGTCCCTATTGCCAAGCCTCTCGTGATTTTTACTTAACTGATTCCTTCACTAAGCAGTGAAGTCTTAACTTCCCAGTGCTGGCCACTAGTAGGTACCTGCTACATGCTCGATGAGTGGACAAATACTTCATCAAACTAGGTCAGCAGGCTCGCTGCCCAGAGAAGTCACTGTCCACTTCAATTCCTGCCCCTGCGTGGTAGGCCCGCCTGGTGGCTCACGGGATCCAGGCCTGTGTTAACGCGGGGCTTCCTTCTTTCCCTGCTTGCATGCTCTCTCGTGACCAGCTTCAGCAGAGCAATGCTCCTAGCATCTCTAACCCTCTCTTTATCTATTTCTCCTCATGGGAAGCAGTGGCTTATTTAATGGAATTAGGGTAGGAGGAAGACCTGCTTGAATCGGTGGCATCTGTCTCCTACATCTGCCTGCCCCCAAGAAAGGAACCCTGGACTTCTCCTCACCACGTGACAGCCGAGTGGGCAGAGGAGGCCTGTGCCATGTGGTCAGCCTGCGCTGGACGGTCTGGGTCAGGGGAGGGAATGATGGGAAATACCCTTTGTCCCCAGTGTACCGTACCTCGCTTCTCAGAGATGTACATTTTATACATTTGGATGTATTTGAAAACGCATCTGCCAACCAGATGGCACCACATGGTTTAACTGGCTGGAATGTCTCTTTCCTTGTACCTTACCACTCGATGGCATCTTAGGTTCAAAGAAACATGGTGAACAACAGTCTCAGTCAGGCTTACCAAGGAGCTGGTATTTTGATCTCCATCTGTCCCAGTGAATTAGAGCTCAGTTGGTTCCAGGCACAGGAGGGGAGGAATTGGGTGTTTGATCAGCACTATCCAATCACATGCACTAAGCACCTGCCATGGCCTAGACCACGTAGATGAGCGAGATGTCTTCCACAGCCTGTGAACAAGAGCAGCCGGGCTGGGAGAGGAAAAGCACCAGCAAGTCAAACAAGGGTGGCAAAGGCTTGCTGGGACAAGCGCGTTCACGCGCGTGTGCGCACACACACACACACACACACACACACACACACACGGTACGTCCTGCATGCCCACATGTGCATGCCATGTGCACACAGCACTGGGGCCTGTTCCAAGACTCCTGGCCTCACCCTCATTCCACTCTGGTCACCATCTGAGTCCATTCTTCCTCCTGCCTTTGCTGCACTCCTCTAAAGATTCCCAAGCTCTACACCCCAGTTCTCATGAGGCTTTTACCACTCCTCCTCCAGCCCTGCAGACACACAAAGTCACTGGTAGGGGTTGTTGTGTTGAAGTCCTAGCCCCCATTAACTCAGAATATGACTATATTTGGAGATAGGATCTTTAATGGGGAGATTAAGTTAAATGAAGCTTTACGATGGGCCAGTATGGACCAGACCAATCGGGCTGCTGTCCCTATACAGAGGAGTAACTTGGACACAGACTCAGACATGGAAGGCCATGCAGAGACAGAGAAGAGAAGCCATCTACATGCCAAGAAGGGACACACAGAGCAGATCCTCCTTCACAATGCTCAGAAAGAAAACCCCACTGACACCCTGGTCTCGGACTCCAGCCCCACAGTGGTGGAGCAGTCAATTCCTATTGGGTAGGCCACCCGGTTTCCGGGGCCTTCTGACACTAGTCTAGACAAGTGGATCCAGTCCCTGAGTATCCAGACTCACGGTCACTCTTCGTCCTCTGCTGCTGGGGTCCCTTCCACACTGTAGTCACACTTCCTAGGGCTGCAATGGCATAACCCCTTCTGGCCTCCGGCTCCCTCCCACTGCTCCTGTTCCCTTCCATCCAGTCAGCTCCTAATTCTGGAGTTTCCCTAGTTCCCCTCTCCTGCACATACTCAGCCAGGTGACCTCCTCACTGAGGCTTCAGACCCCAAAGCTCCGTCACTAGCCTACATCTGTGCTTCAGGTTCCAGACCCGGGTGTCCACCTGCATCCAAGACATCTCAGCCTGCACATCCCACCAGCATCTTGAACATGCATCCAACCGATTTCCTGTGCCTGCCCTCTATAAGGTCTATCTCAGGAAAGGGCACCGTCTCCTTAGGGATGTTGTCCTTGGTTTACCGCTCTGGAACCTGGATGACACCATTTTCTATAGTGCCAGGGTACCCTAAGTGTTCCTGACACCCCAACCACACTATTATGTCATGCTCCCTAAATGAGTCCTCACTAGCCTGTGACCTATTTCACGAAAGGAGTAGGGTCTGTTTCACATCCATTCAGAGGGACCTCAGATGTATACTCTGGAACCCCCTCCCAGGAAGGGGCGAAGAAACCCTCCCAGAAACTGCTCAGAGGTTAAACAACTGCTGCTCGAAGAGGTACAATGTCACAGACAAGTTTTTATTTGTCCTGCATATAGAACCCAAGAAATATAAAAACATCTCCAAAATTAGTCGCCTCCCCAACAGGCCGCCTTCCTCCCTGGGCAAGCCCAGACAGGGGCGATGGGGGCTACAGGCCACCTCCTCCTGTCCAGTGAACAAGTTCTATATAAAAATAGATCTTTAAAGGGTTCCCCAAGACCCACCACCCGCATCAGGTCAGCACCTGCACAGGGCTAAGGCCTGAGAACCATAGCAATTCTGGACCTCACTCCTCAGTGGAGGAAAGATCTACCCTGGACACCGAAGTCCTCCAACACAGCCTGGAGACCCTCTGCAGAACAGCCGGGGGAGGGAGCACTTTGACCTTAAGAGAATGATGTGGCTGCCGAGGGGGATGAGCTTCTGTCCACCCAAGACAGGGTGCTGGTTCCCAGGCTTCCCCGGAGAGGCTGGGGGTGGGGTGGGGCTGGCAGGAGACCACCAACCCTGTCACAGGGGGAAGCAGTATTTAGTCGGCCCCATTACCCCAAAGCCACTTAGTTGAGGCAGATCTCAGGAGGGGTAGCCCAGAGTGGGGCCAGGGCCTCCAAGGGAGCAGCTGGGGCCGAAGGCACTGCTGGGAGTCACTGTCCTCCATCACAGGTCCTCCCGAAGATGCTCTTACCTTCCAGCCCTATGGCTCCTTCTCAGTTAGTCCCTGCAGATTCCTCTCGTCCAGCTCCCTTGGCCTGCTGAGATTTCCATCCTCCCCCTCCCCAAGGCTCTGTCAACTTATGCTTCAGTCAAGATGCCTTTCTGGACAGCCCTCAATATACACATGTCAAGAACATCCCCAGCAGTGCCTCCAGCCCACGCTCTTGCTGACCCAAGGGCTCCTGGGGGATCCTGGCCACTTGTGGAATGCAGCTTGACTGGTGCCTGAGCTCTTCTCCCTGCCGGCCTGGGTCCCCAGTGCCAGTCTCTGTGTCTCCTGCACCCTTCCCTTCCCAGCCCAGCCCACCCCACACAGCCAAACCAGAGCAGGCATCTATCACGAGTGACACAAACCAACTGCCTCCACGGCCCTGACCACATCCGCAGTCTTTCTGTCCTCCGATGACAGCCCTGGCCACACAGTCACCACTGCGGGGCCCTTCTGGTAAGGACCTTTGGACTCAGCTCATGACCACTCCTCCAGGGCTCCGCAGAAGCCTGAGAGAGGAGGTGCTCTTTGGAGGTGGGGCTCAGGGACACAGCTGGCAGGGGAGGGTCACTTCCAGAGCGTTCACTGGGCTGCCCCAGAGAACAGGGCTGGTGCCACATGGCAAGGCTGAGGACTCTCTTCAGAGCCAGCCTCCTCCCTAGATCGGGTTCCAACCTCACTTCTGATTTCCCTGTCCCTCAAGGTAGGTTAGAGCAGACTGTCAGAGATCCATTTCTGAGTGTCCTTTTCACAGCTCCCAGGGTGGAGACCGAGGCTCTCAGATGTCCGCAGAGAGAACACGTCCCCTCGTGCTCTCCCAGGTCAGTTCACAGAGTGAACGGAAATGTGGAGCCCCAGGACCATGCGGCCCAGCCAGGACCCTCCCCTTCTCCCTGCACTGCCAGCCTCATGGCGAGGACAGAGTCAGCTCCTGATTCTTCCGCCTGAGATCAGCTTCACTTTTGCCTCCCTGGGCCTCAGAACAGTGTCCAGACACACATCAGCCAGCCACGGCACAGCGGGTAAGGAGCCTGCCCCTCTGGCACAGCCCCACATGGCCAGGATACCCAGAGCTGTCTGACCGGACAAGTCTGAGGGAAAGGGGGACACCCACTAGGGAGGCCTCAGCTTCTAGCAGGTGTGGAAGACAGAGGGGCATAAGCCAGGGCAAGCAAAATCTATTGTCTCCCTCTCTCCACCCCATCTCTGTCCCTGAGGCCCTGAATTTCCTCCCCATGGTTTTGAACCTCTTTTCCATGGGTACTAGGTCAGAGGGGAAAATGGGAGAAACGGGCAGTAAAACGGGGACACTGTGGCCCCAAAGCAGCTCTTGGCTCGAGGGGAGGAAGACAGTGTTCACTTCCACCAAGGTGGAGTGGAGTTTGTCACGGTCCTGGGCAGGTCTGGGTCTGCCCCTGCTGCCTGGGCCTGCCTTGGAAGAAAGGGGGTACTCACACCTGCACCCCCTGGCCCTGCAGCTGCAGCACTCGAGCCTGCAGGGCGCTGATCCCACTCAGGAGGGCCTCTTGATGTTCAGCCGAGGAGATGCCCAGGTTCACCAGGTCCCTGGAACAAGGGCTGCTCAGACCCACTGGTCAATCCCTCTTCTGCTCCTCCCACACAGCCCCCTGCTCTCCCCGCTTTCTCTGGGTGGGGCAGGGCCAGAATCAGGACAGGCAGGGGCTTCCCTTGTAGGCAGGGGCAGTGTCCCTGCCTTGGCTTCTCAGACTCACTGGGAAGTCATCTCAGCCACAGCCTCCAAGCTCCCATAGCCAGCTGCTGCGAAGTTGTCCTTGTAACGGCACAGGTCCAGGGCCTCCAGCCAGGCCCCCACGGAGCCAAAGGAAGGGAAGGTGGAGAAGGCACGGTCTTCCAGGAGGGTGGGAGGCCTGGGGAGGAAGAGCTGTGGTCAGCGGACAGTGGGATCTGGTGCCCAGACCTAAAGCTCCCCTGGAAAGATGGGGAAAGGGGAGACAACCAGGCCCCAGGGACAGGCCTGGCTCATACGGGCACTATGCAGCCCAGAAGAGGCAAGCCCCAGGGTACTCAGGCAGGTAGAGGGCTGAACCAGCAAAAGGGACTGGTAGTGTCTGGGATAGTCTGACACGCCTACGATGGGATGGCAGGTGACATATTTGGAACAAGGGATAATAAATTCACTTATTGAATTTATTGGAACTATATTTGGGGGTGTACTGTAAATATGTTTATCTAGTCAGTGGTCACTGTATGGGGATACGCGGGACAAAATCTGTGAAGTAAGATGTACCTGAGGCAGGTGGGAAGTGTGAGGTCTACATGGGGCAACCTGCTGAGTGGCGGTCCCTTGACAGGCGAGGTACTGCATTTGGGATACTAGGGAAGCTTTCGATGCTCAGGAGAGAGGTCAGCTGAATCTGGTATGGCTGGGGATCAATGGGAAGGTACCTGGGGCAGGTGGTCGCGGCACACTTCGAGGGTTCTGGGTCCTGCACCATCCTGCTCAGGACACTGTGGATCTGGGAGAACCTGGGCCGTTCCCCTGGGTCTTTCTGCCAGCAGTCAAGCATCAGTTGGTGCAGCAGGGAGGGACAGTTCCTAGGGGGCGGCAGCCGGAAGCCATCTTCCACGGCTTTGATCACCTGGGCCACAGTGACGGGGAGAAGACAGGACGCCTCTGGTCCCCCCAGCATACACGTACAGACGCAGACACACACGTGCACATGCACACCCCATTCCAAGGAAGACTCAACTAGGGGCTGGGCAGGATGGGAAGTAGACTAAGAAAAAGGACCTGAAGCTAGGAGGTAAAGGGTGACAGGAAGAAGTCAAGGAGCTGGAGGATAAGAGGGTCAGAAGTCAAGCAGCGAGAGGTCACTCACATCTTGGCCAGACATGTCCCAGTAGGGCCGCTCACCGAAGGCCATCACCTCCCACATGACGACACCAAAGCTCCACACATCACTGGCAGAGCTGAAGTGGCCAAACTGAAGCATCTCAGGGGCAGCCCAGAGTGCTGGGCTCCGGCCACTCTGTCAGTGGGCACACAGGCAAGGGTGGGAAGGAACTGAGTCACCCGCATCCAGCCCCCCACTCCCAGCTTCACACTCGGGAAGGTATTCCAGCTGACTATGGGGCGGGCGCAGAGTGACACTGACTCAGGACCAACCTCGTGGAAGGGCGGGGTGGGGAAGGACCCAAACAGCAGGGAAGGGGCTGGGCAGAGGAGGTCGACACTCCTGGGGAGAAGAAGCCTCACCATGGTGGTGTAGACGGCCTCCGCTCTGTCACGGGGGCCCCGCCCAAAGCCAGAGAGCTTACAGATGAGGCCGCTGCTGACCAGCACACGGCGGGCGGCGAGGCCCCGATGAACATAGCCCATCTCTGACAGATACTTCATAGCTGATGCCAGTCCAGGCAGGAGCCCCATCAGCTGCTCAGCCACCAGCTGCCCCTCATGATGCTGCAGGATTAGGTGAGACTGAGGCTGGGGCTTTGTGCTCAGACCGCCTGGTGCTGTGGACTCCAAGGAGGTCCCTCAGCCCTCACTGGGCTTCACTTTATCCTGTGACCCCTAGGTCAGCCTGGCCAATGGGAATGAAGCCAATTCCAAGCCCACCAAGGAGAAAGTGAAGGACCAGGAATAAGTTGGTAATCCGCACCCCCCAGGGCCCAGGCCACTCACCCTGAGGAAGCTGTCCAGGGCCCCATGGCCCATGTACTCAGTAACGATCATCAAGGGGCTTCCTGTGCCAGAGATGGGGACCCACATGCTAAGTTGCCTGGCTACTCTGTGCACACAACCGTTCCCCCTGAGGGGCCCCATCTTGGCTAACATGGCCAGAATCAAAGTCAAGCTCCCTACTCTTATTTCTCTCCTGCCCAGCCCAGCATCCCCCAGACAGAAGAACAAAAGAGTTATCTGTAGGGGAACAGAGGTCAAGGTCAGGAACCACAAGTTAGTTAAGATCACCCAAGGTCAGTGTTTCAACCCCCTAGTGGCACGGGGAGCCAGAAGCTCGTCCCAGATGAGTGCCCATGCCAGGAGAGTGGTCACCCTGAACCAGTGAAAGCAAACTGAGGCCCACGTCTAGCCTCCCTCCAGGGTTCCTGGAGCCACCCTCCCCCCACAAAGCTGTCATTTCACTTCCTACATCGGTGGCTGGGGCAACAGGAAGGGGAGCATCAGGCAGGCCTACCTCGGGTGACAACCCCCTCTAGTCGCACAATGTGGCTATGGTCAAACTGGCCCAAAGTGAGGGCCTCCGCCAGGAAGCTGAGCCTTTGCGAGTCTGAGCAGCCGTCTCTCAGCGTGTGTACAGCCACAGGCAGCTCCTGCCGGCCAGGTAGCTGCAAGCAGCCGAAGCACAGGTCCCCAAACCGGCCTGTGGGGAAACAGCAGCTCAGGCAGCCCCCTGAAGGCCATGACCCCAGCCAGTGGGGCAGCCCGAGCTGAGGAGAAAGTGACTCTGGCCTGGGGTGTGAAACTCCTGAGTTCTAATCCTGGTAACTTCAGTACTGGCAGTGCAACCTGGGGCTTCACCCCTCCCTCTCTGGGCCTCAGTTTCCTACCCTGTAAAGCTTCGGAACGGGCATTGCACATGCCAGCCCCTCAGGGCCATTAAGCCCGGCCTGAGCCAGGACACACGATGATGACATCGGTTCTGCCTTTTGTGCAGCGGCTCTGGGGATGGTGACAGAAGTGTCAGGCTTCTGGTGACAGTGCTGGGCTTCTCTGAACATAGGGGCTGAGGGCTTGTGGACAGGTAGAAAGGCTGGGGACTGCCCTAAGCCGGCAAGCCTCACGTCACCTGGGGGAGACAGAGGTCATGCCCATCTTACAGATAAACTGAAGCTCAAAACAAGAGAGGATCATGCTCTGCTCATGCAACTCACTGGTGGCAGCGCCACGACTAGAATTCAGTTTAAGGTCCCTCCTACTGCCTCCTGAAGGCCAGGGTCTAAACGGCCAGCAGCACACTGCAGTGGCTGACTCTGAGTGGGACCGGTTGGAGAGGTCTTAGAGTGACCCTGAGGACCCAAGAGGGTAGGCAGAGTCACAGACCCCTCTGGTGGGCAAGAGACTTTCTGGGTAGGGGGCAGGCTCGGTGTGGAGAAGGGCCCTCAGAGTAGGGTCAGACTTAAGAGGAGCCTGGCTGACAGGAGACAGGCGGCTGGGCGGAGCATCGGGATGGGTGGAAGGCGAAGGGCGTGGTTTCCCGGTGGGTGTGGCTGGTGGGCGGAGCTTTCCAGGGTGACCCCGCTCACCCGCGCCGAGGCTCCTCTCCAGTGTGATGCTTTTTGCATCCAGCTCCTTGGCGAACAGATGCACAGCTTGCAGTGGGTCCCCGCAGCTCTGAGGGTCCAGGAAAGTACGACGTGTTGGGATTTTGACTGAGAACACAGGGGGAGAAAGCTCAAGGCTGTGGAAAAAGTCTGCATTACTGCGGGGGAGGCGTGTGAAAGGACAAGGAGCAAGAGGGGTGGGTGAACCTGGTGACCCCACAACTCACAGTGGAAGTACAGCTCCTCTTCGTCATGGGTGTCACCACCTCCTTTGCCATAGCTGCAGGGCCTAGTAGAGGGGCGCAGAGAACCCCTTCACCAGGCCACCCCAGCCTTCCCACTTTAGCACCCAGGAGGACACTTCTGTGTCCCAATAACAAGGCCTACATCCCTGGGGGAGGGACAGAGACCTTGTCCTGGTTTGAAAACTATTGCTCCTTCTTTTTCTTTTGGTACCAGGGAGGCAAGCAGCAGAACCACTGAGCTAAATCCCCAGCCCCTCTCTTTCTTTTTTTATTTGTTTTTTGCTACCCCATCCTCCTCCTCCACAGTTTGGCAACCTGCTCCCCACAGCTCGAATACAACCATGCCCCACCTGGCCATTCACCACCTTCAACTTTCCTAGTTATTTCCATTGTGAGATACAATGAAAATGCTCATGACTCCAGAGGCTCCCAAATCCACACCCCTGACTTCAGGAAAACATGCACAGGTACAAACAAAGGAGAAGGCAGTGACAACAGGCCAGGCCAACCACCTGACCCACTGGGACCATCACAGAAATCTTAAGACGAGAGGCAGTCATGGACCAAAGGCCTGAGTCACAATCAAGAGAGACACAGGCAGCAATTGTTGCCCCCAGGCAGGGTCTTGCTGGGCCGGAGAAAGACACTGCCCTTTATTCTGGGAGCAGAGGCAGTGCCTGGGGACCTAGAGGTGGAGAGTGCTGTGATTCAATTTGCATTTTAGAAAGATCATCCCAGCTGCTGAGTGCAGACTGCTCTGTGGTTGCTGCAGGAGGCTGGTAGCGGCTCAGGCTGTGGAGTGACTATGTCAGGAACAGAAATGTGAGGGACCTCAGGGCTTGGAGAGGGCTGGGTGGCAGAAAGGAAGATGAGAAGGTGCTCAGCAGACTTCATGAAGATGCCATCACCAAGATGGGGAGATAAAAGGTATACATTTAGACATCTGATGAGACCTAAAGTTGCCACAGTCTCCTGATGATGAACAGAGCCCTGGTAGTTGGTGGTGGAAACTGTTCCGTGATGCCCACCATAGATCCATTTAATTATCCTAACTCACCACTTTCAAGATGCAAGAAATTTAATGATCCTATATATGATTCTTTGGGGGTTTTCCCCCTTTTTAATTTTTTTTAGTACTTTTAAACATTTAATTATCCATATATTTTCTGTTGACTCCTCCTCTAGAGAACCCTAATACACTCACTAAACCTCAATAGATGTTTGCTATTACGTGGGGGCAGGGGAGCACTATCGGCAAGGAGGGTTCTGGGATGGGAAGAAGGGGTAGGGCTCTGTCCTGGGTAGCAGGACTGAGCCTGGCCAGAAGGGAGGGGAGGGTGGTGTGAAGTGGGCAGGTTCGCAGGCCTGGTGGCGAGAGGCTGAGGCCAATGATAAGGCTGAGAGTAAGTTGCAAGGAGAGGGCATTTGCAGGCCCCAAGGAGAAGAACTGGATTGCGTGCTGGGGGGATGTCCAGGGAGCTTGGTGAGACAGCAGAGAAAATCCCTGGGAGAAAAGAACTGAGAGCGAGTCATGGGGCAGGCCGGTGACAGCGACTGAAGTCACCAGGATGCGGACTGATGCGAGTGTCTTCCATGCACGAAGGGAAAACCCAGGAGAGAAGGGGAAGATGGAACAGGTGCAGGAGTGAGGGCTTGCAAGCTTGGGAGAAAAACCACACTGTGAAGCGAGGTGTGGTGGAGCACGCCTGTAACTCCAGCACTCAAGAGGCTGAGGCAGGAGGGATCATGAGTCCAAGGGTAGCCTGGGCTACGTGGTGAGTTGAAGGCCAGCATAACTACACAGTGAGACCCTTTCTCCAAAAGAAAAAAAAAAGAACAAGAAGAAGAAGGAAAGAAGCAAAGCAAAGCAAACCATGCAATGATGGTAAGAGTTCAGGATGTCACCCTCTAGTGAGAAGTAAGTGAGCCAGAATGGACTACAGAGGGAACTGTGTAGAGGCGAGGGGACCACAGCACAGAGCGGGCACTGAGAGACATGGAGGGCACAGGGTGAGAGATGTCAGAGTCCGCAAGGTGGGGATGCACAGTGGAGGAGTCGGCCCCTCAAGCCCTCAACACCCAGTGACGCCACTGCTGGGTGTACGAAGAGCGTGAGCCCTGCTGTTGGCTCACTGCCCGGCTCCTCAGCTCTCCCGGGGTCTGCCCTGGGGTTGCAGCACCTTTGCTGTCTCTCCTTCCTCCTGCCTCCTAAGTCTCTACACCCAACGCCAGGACAGACACTCTCTCCTTTCCAACAGGTCTAGTGCATGCCTGTGGGCCTTTCAGCTCTAGGAGCTCCACGCCTGCTCTTCGCCTGCCTTCCTGACTCAGCCTTCAGTCACTATCAGTGGAGGCCATGGGAACAGCCAGTGCCAAATCACGGTAACTGCCCTGCAGCCCAGAGGTGGTCCCAGGTGGCTGTGTGGGCTGAGACTCGACTCCCCGGCCAGCCCATTTCTCCTCCACCTACCACATACAGACTTCCATGCCCTCCAGTCTGCTGACCTCAGCTCCAGCCTGCTACCACCTGGGGGCCTCTGCAAGCAGCAGAGTGCAGCCCTGGGGAGAAGCAGGGGCGAGGCCTGTGTTGCATACAAAAGATCAGAATCTTCTCTCTTCCAGACTCTAGCTCAACAGCTCCCCGCCCCACCCCTTCCTCTGCCCACTCTCCTGCCAGCTTTCTCCTGCTGCGGGTGGAGAGTTTATGGCTTAGAGAGTCCCCACCCTTCTCCACACGAGAGCATGCACACACACACACACACACACACACTTTTGCATTTCTTTTTTGCTTGGGTTTAGTGGAGGCAGGGGCTGGGGGGGCTCTGAAAACCTCAGGAGAATCCTAATCACACTGGAGCAGCCAGAGCTGGATTCCATTCTCAGTGATGCCTTCTGACATTTAATGAGTTAAGGAGCTAAATCCCCTTCATCCCAGAGTGGCTGAGCTCCTTGTGGTAGCTTCTGTATGAGCAATGCATGGCGGGAGGGACCACACTGGTCACAGCTGTATCTACACAGCAGTGTGTGTGTGTGTGTGTGTGTGCCAGTCTGCACGTGTGCAAACCCAGTGCAGGTACAGGTAACTGTGAGCATACGCTAATGTGCACAAGGGAGCAGACTCACCGGGGTCACTCAGCCTGGGACCAGCCACCTACCTCCTCCAAATGGCCAGCACACTCATCACAGAGCCCAGGACAAGGAGGGCTGAGATGGTTACCACGGTGACGACAACTGCAGGGCTCTGGTCCCTGGACCCTGAGGCGGCTGGGAGGAAAACCACAGGTTGAAGCAGGCGGAGAAGCAGGCTCGTGGGCAGGCCCCAGGGCAGGGAGGTGTTCCGTCCCTCTACACTCAACACTGCTTCCCTGCAGCAGAGGGGCCGGAGTCATCCAGGGTGCACCGGGAGTACCAGGCAGGGCGCCTCTGCTCTACCCCACTGAGAGGGAGGAGCGAGAGCCCAGACAGTGGGGACAGCAGCCCTCGGTGCCTTTCAGATGGGAAGACAGGCTGCACAGGAGAATGGTCTTTGCTCAGAGCTCCCACCTCTGATCCAGACTCCTGACCAATAACAATGAGCCAGTGTGAAACACACATTCAGCAAGACGCTGTCGCTGAACTCTATCATCCTGTTTCTTCAACAGGCCAGTAACGTGTTGTTGTCTCCATTTTACAGCAAAGGAAACCAAGATTGTGAACTTAGGCAGTTTGTCCAAGGTCACACAGCTAATAAGTGGTAAACCCAAGATTTGAACTTGAATCTAAAAAGCCTCTGTCTGATGCCAAAGCCTCTGCTTTGAAGTATTCCTCCAGGGTGGAGGGGGAGAAGGGAGGGCAGAGGTATGGGGAAAAAAATGAGAGCCAATAAAGTATTCCTCCAGGACAGGGATCCACAGAATCCATTCCTCCCTCCTTCCCTCCCTCCCTCCATCCATCCATCCAACGTGTGAATGAGGCAGAATCCTTGCCCTGGAGCAGTGCACAGACCACAGCAGGCAAACAGAAACAAACAAAAATTTTGTTTTTTTGGTACTGGGGATCAAACTCAGGTCCTTGCACTTACGAGGTAGGCAGTGGAACCACTGAACTAAATCCCCAGCCCCAGAAACAAAAATTGTAACTGTAAATGAAAAGGAGCAGAAAAGTGACCAGAGCTGGACAGAAGCCCAAGGATTCCTTCCTAGGGCCAATAAGGAAGCTTAGCAGAAGAGATAAACACTGAATTGGACCTGGAAGCGTTTGCTGATGCCTTCCAGACCCAGACGCACACACAGGTATGGAACGTGGTAAATCGTCCCTGGTGGCCCAGCAGCAGACTACATGGGAGAAGAGAGCAGCAAGACAGAAACAGAGTTGGGGGGTAAGGAGCTGAGTGAAAACAGGGCCTAGAATGCCAGGCTAATGAGTGGGAAATTTATCCTGAGGGTGACAGGGAACCAGGGAACAGTGGGTGGATTTCTGTCCTGGGAGAAAAGGAATGGTTTCATCTTCTGAGCTGAGTGGGGATGGAGGGAGGTACTTGAGAAGGGGAGCGTCTGGAGTCTGGGTGGTGCACATCAGTAAGCGCAGCTATTTGGGAGGCTGAACTGGGAGAATCCCAAGACTGAGGCCAGCTGAGACTCTGTCTCAAAATTTACAAAACCAGAGGAAGTCTCAAGTGGTTCTGAAGACTGCACTACAGGGAAAAGTAAACACTTGTAGGCAGCCTCACTGTGGGCAGGAGAAGGGGGATGGCCCGAGTGGGGGACCAGCACGCAGGCGGGCAGTCACGCAGGGCATGTGACTGGCAGAGCTGGGGGCACTTCCGATGGGACAACACACAGGAGCTGGGCAAACAGAGACGGGAGCTGGGGGCGCCCAAAGCCTGGATGACGAGGTAGGATCCAGAGAGCAAGTGAGGGGAGACAGGAGACGAAGGGAGAGTTAGAGACCCATACAGAAGGATCAAAGAGGGCATTAGAGCCCAGGGCTACAGAGGTGAACAGGGCCCAGGCCTGGCCGGTGGCAGGAGGTGAATGGAGACGCCAAGCAATGTCTGAAATCAGGCACCCATGGGACACAAAAACAGAAAACAAAAGACAGTTGTGCCAGGAAGGCTCCGTGTGGCCCTCAGGACACCAGTTTCCTATCTTCATCCCCTTGAGTATAGGCCGGATCGCTAACTCCTAACGAACAGAGTAAGGTAAATGTGACAGGAAGCCACTCCTACCGTGAAGCGACAATATCCCACGGCTCCCGTCTTGGGTGCCTCCACCCGCCCCTCACCTGGGGTCTCTGAAGGAGTCTAGTGCAGTGCAGAGTAGCTCTACTGAGGGCCAGTGGGGCAGGCGATGGCACACACTGGGCCATGCTAGAATGAGTCTGAGTCAGCGCTGAGGTGACAGCAACCCAGAGGACACCTGGACTGAAGCCTGAGGGAAACCCTGAGCCAAGGCCGCCGGCTAAGTGGCACCCAAGTCCTGACTCACAGGAACCACGAAACAACACGCACACGTCATCTGTAGTAGTGCATTTGCTACACAACCATAAATAGCTAACACAGCCGTGATGCACGATCCCTCATTAAAATCCTGATATTGCTGCGTGTCTGTAGTCCCAGAGGCTGGGGGACTAAGGCAGAAGGATTCCAAGTTTGAGGCTGGTCTGGACTACGTAGAGAGACCCCATCTAAGAATAAAATTCTGACTTGGGATCGCAGCTCATTGGAAAAATTGCTCACAGATAGGGAGGCCCACATCCCCTCACAGCCAGGGCCACAGCAAGGGAGGCTGGGGTCAGGAGTCGGTCTGTTCAAACAGAGCTGCACAGAAATGGAAATCATGGGTCCCTCTCCGCTGACGGCCCCAATCCCTGCCCCCACCGCTCTCACTCCAGCCAGACCCGCGGGCTTTGGTCTGGATGGCTTCCACCACTCAGATGCCTTCCCTGCCCGTGGCTGCTGGTTCAGATGTTCTCCAACTTCTAGCAATGGCTCTAATCTCCTCTTCCCAGCACCTGGATGAGGTCTGACACAGCCAGGCATGCGAGCAAAAAGTGCTGCCTTCCTTCCTGGAACTCAGACGCCCTCAACATTTTATCTTCACCTCCCTTTGGGCACAGAGCTCTGCCTATCTTGGATTAGAGTCATGTACCAGGTTGGAAAGAATTATTATCTTGACAGCTGGTGCCGGAATGCCTCTTAGGGAGAACTGCTTTTGTTCAGGAAAATACTTTCATGAGCTGCTCAGGGTAGACACAGGTGAGATCCTGAGGACTGGGTTAGCAGCAGGCAGAACAACAAAAGAGGGAGCTAAACTGTTCTGGGCAGGCCATGAAAGGGAACTCGGGTGGGTGGGGGAGAAGAGGCAGCAGGGAGGGCCGCGAAGGGCAGCGGGAAAGCACAATACCACGGAGGAGCCAGGGATATTTTAAGATCAGGATCTCTAATGTTCAGCTTTTGTTTTGCTTTTGTAAGAACTTTATTGAGATGTAATCCCCATACCAGTCAATTGACCCATTTAAAGTGTGCAATGCTTGTTTTGCTTTGTTGGTTGCTGCACTCTAACCCCTTTCACGGCCCTAACCTTCAGTGACATGTGCTTCACGCGTTAACCCTGGGGGGGAAGGGACAGTGCCCCATGGTGGAGCTACATCATGGCAGACAGCCAAGATCTACCCGTCATAGCAAGAGGTGACTGAGACTAAAAACTCCTCCCAAGAGAGAGCGTGGATCTGAGAGGACACAGGATGTTACCACAGAGCATGGGGTCTGCCCTCCGAGAAGGCTGGCGCCAGCTTAAACAGGTATATTGCTGGCCCCTAACACTTTTTCTGAAATCTCCTCCATTGAGTTCATGTCGGTGGATCCCAAATTTCCTAATGAAATAGGGTGCAATTCAGCTGCTCTGCAGGCTCTGGTGGGGACACACATAACTCTCACCCTGTCTCTCCTGCCCACCACCGTGCCAGGCCGTGAGCCCAACCCCATCCACGTACTTGCACACAGTACTCACCCTCTCCTGGGGTCTGCACTTCGATGCTGGGGTTGAAGCTCTGGGCCTCCCAGGAGGGCAATGGGGAAGCCGCCCGGATCTGGAAGACGTAGCGGGTAGCGGGCTTCAGGTTGGTGATGGTGACGGCAGGCATCCCTGTCTTCACAGTGGAGTAAGTATGCTCACTTTGACCCTGGAGGAGACAGAGAAGTGAAGCCCAGACCCAGGGCCGTCCAGCTGTCTTGGGAGGAGTAGGCTCAGGTCAGCCTAGGTGGGCTGGGGGAAGCTGACCCTGAGCATCCTGGAGACTGCAGAGCTTTCTTCCACGGGATCCCCAGCATCTCTCTCCACTCCAGTTTTACCCCACCTTCAGGGTGTTTTGTGGCTAAGAACAGCCCCCCTTTGCCTATGAGAAACTTTAGAGAAGACGCAGTGCCCTCTCGGGAATGACAGGACGATGGTCCCTGTAGTCCCAGTGTGAGCGGGGCCACAACCCAGGCACTGGTCCTTGATCTCGCAGGCTTCTCCTTCCCCTCCTCATCTGATTTTCACCACTGTCCTGGGAGGCACTGGCCAGGAGGTGTCATGTCTGTTTTGTTTTTGTTTCACAGATAAGAAGACCGGGCTGGGCTAGTAAAGACAGGACCCAGCTGGAGACAGCAGCGGCTGTCGGTGACAAGGGCTTACCCACTTCCAGCCACAGTGCTGGGCCCCCATGCTCCCACAGCAGCCCCGAGGAATCAGCATGGCTCTCTCCTTTTTACAGGCGAGGCTCACATCCAGGAAAGGTCGGGTGACACCTGAACCCCTGTGGCCTGCTCTTTGCTCTACCTCACGCCTCCCCAGCTCCGATAATGGCACCTGATAATGGAATGACCTAAGGATGCTCCTCCCACCGCTGTGTCTACCCACACCTCACAGGAGACCAGAAGAGTGTGCCTCTCTCCTGATACAAGGCATTCCGAAATCGGGGCAACTACGGCCAGTCAGAGTTTCCCTCCTAGCATTTGAACAACACCTTGGAAAACAAAGAAGCAAAGGCTGCGGGATCTATGAGATGGGGTTTCCTTGCCAGGAAGAAGTGGGGGAGAGGGGGACCACTCTCCGCTGCCCCCACGTGCTGCGAGCAAGGCCCTCAGCAGAAGAGGTTGGGCTGTGCGCAGAGAGAAGGCCAGATGAGAGCTGAAGCTCCGGAGGAAAGTCCCTGACATCTGTCCAGACCTGGAGACCCAGCAGTGCTTCCTTCACAGCCCCTTTCATATGTGCTCTTTCTCATTTTTATTATTTATGTTTTGAGACAGCGTCATGCTGAGTAGTCCAGACTAGCCTCAAACTCAGGATCCTCCTGCCACAAGTGCCGGAATGACAGGTGTGTGCCATCATACTCGGCTGTCCTTGCCCTTCTTTTGAGGGTTTTGTTCCTAGCACATTCATAGTTCTGATTAAGGGGCTATGAACATCCGGCCAGCTCAGGCTTGGCACTTGTGGGTGATCTGATCTTCGGATTTTCTTCACCGAGTCCTTTCTAAGCACCCAGTGCATACGTAGCTGTCTCCTAAACATCCGAGGTCCTCGGGGCCCTGTCCTGGCTACTCTCCACACACACGATCTCCTACTGGTACTAGCTACCAAGTCTCCCTCCCCCCAGTTCAGGCTGGGCCTCGAGGTGCAGAGTCCCCAAGGCCCCTGGAATGCTGAATGAAAAAAACTAAGCTTAGCATCGCACCCCACCCTGCTCCTCCTCCTCCACCCTCTGGGTCACCCGGGTCGCACACCCAGCAGTGATTCCGAACTTCCTCCTCCTTCCTGGTTTCTTCCCCCACCCACACTCACAGTTCTCCAGGGACTACCAATATTCAAAAGCTATTATCTGATTCAGGAAGGGAGCCCCACACGTCACGGAGGTATGAGCGGAGTTCTGACACGTGTAGTGCTGACACAGGAAGAGCTTTCACCTTAACGGATTAATCTGTGCCAAGGTGAGAGGCAGCTCAATGGCAGATTACATCACAGACTTAAAGACAATGAATTTCTGGGGAAAAGAGAGTGATGTGATTCCGTTTATAAAATCATGGCTGAACTACAACCACAGATTAAAAATGAATAAGGAGAAGGGAAGAAAAGGCCAGGCTTGATGACTTGCCTGTAGCTCCGCTACTACTTCAGGAAGTTGAGGCAGGAGGACGGATTGAGAGACTGTCTCAAAATAAAAATAAAAAAAAGCAAAAGCATCCTACGGAAAGCTAGAGGATTGGCTCTATGGAGTTTATAATAAGTGTATGTATTTTATTATAATTATAAGTGATGTGCTACACATCCATCCTTATCAGTGAAATGATAATTCATGCATTCACTGTTCTAGAGAGCTGTTTGACAAACATTTACCAGCCTACTGCCCAACCTAGCCACGTGCACTCATTTTTGTAAAAACTGACACAATGTACTTCTGTGTTCTTTCCTTCACAACAGTTCTGTAGATGGTATGTATAAAACTGAACCGCACAAAATCTGGACCAGCCCCCGAAGCGCTTGGTCAGGGGTAAATATTAGCCAAAGTGGGAATGTGGAGGGACCAGTGGTGAAGGTGGGTTTCTGTGGGAAGGGAAAAGGCACGGCGACCAGGGTGCCCTCCGGAGGGACAGGAATAGGGACGCCTCCTGGGAGACTGGTGAGCAGTTCGGAAAGAAAGGAAAGGGGCTTCTTACGGAAGGAGAGAGGGAGCAGAGCAGGCCCGATCCAAGAGGGGCCTCCGGATCTCACCTTCTCGTAGTATCGGATCTCATACTCAGTGCCGTTGGCCCCAGGGGCTGCAGCCAGGATGGGCTCCCGCCACGACAGGGACACGGTCTGGGGTTCCACTCGGTCCCTACGGATCTCATCCTCCTCCCAGGGAGCTGAAAGTTAAGTACAGCAGGGCTGTCTACCAGCACCCACCGCCTCAGCGGGCAGCAGGAGGGCAGGGTGTTGGAGGGCAGAGCGGGCAGGAATGGGGCGGGGCTGATGGTGGAAGTGGAGATGAGGCAAGGCTTGAGGGACGTAGACAGTGAGACCAGGAGGCGAGGAGACCACGGCTCTTCCATATCGTCGACTCCTAGGAGGGACCCTCCTGCTGTTTGCCTCCCCTACACCCTAGCTTCCCTCAAGGTGGTTGATTCTAATCCTCCAGGTTCCTACTGCATTGTCTAAGGCTTGGCGACACAAGAAATCATAGACAGGGAGACCAGCCACTTAGCTGTTGGGGCAAAGCACTCAACAAGCTAGAAATGGAAGGGAATTACCCCAGCGCAGTAAAGAGCATGGGTGGAAAGCCCACAGTGAACATCACGCGCAATGGGTAGGACTGAGGCTCTCCCTCTAAAATCAGGAAAAGCTAGGATGTGACTGCCACTACTATTCACCGGAAGTCTGAAGTTCTACCCAGCAACTGGGCAAGAAAAGCAAATAAAGGACATACATTTGGAAGAAAGAAGCACATTTACCTCTGTTGTCAGACAACATGATCTCTAGAGTCCACAAAATTCTTTCAGAATTGATAAATACAACAAAGTTACAGGATATAAAAATGAATGAATTACATTTCTATATTCTAACAACGAATAATTTTAAAAAGAAATTAAGTTGGGCACAGTGGCACGTGGCTATAATCCTTGCTACCTAGGGAAGCTAAAACAGGAGGACCACAAGCTCAAAACAGCCCATGCAACTTAGCAAGACCTTGTCTCAAAATAAAAAGAATTGGAGATTTAGCTCAGTGGCAGAGTGCCCCAGGTTAATCCCTAGTAACCATAAAAATAAATAAAATACATCAAGAAATGTATAAATAAGCTGAGGGTGTAGGTCAATGGTACAGAACTTGGGCAGCATGAGCAAGGCCCTGGATTTGATCCTTGGGATAAGAAAGAAGGAAGGAAAGAAAAACGGAGAGAAAGGAAGAAAAATCAATTTGCAGTAGTCTCAAAAAGAATAAAATCTTAGAAACAAATATAACCAGAAGGGTAAAAGACTCATAAACCAAAAACTAAAGAGCAATGCTGAAAGAAATTAGGGAAACATGAATAAATGGGAAGACTTCCTGTATTCAGGGTGTGAAACACTTCATAAGGTTTGAATGTCCTTATTACCAAAAGTGATCCGCAGATTCAATGTAAATCCTAGTAAAATCCCAGAGGCTTTTTTTTTTTTTTAAGCAGAAACATGAAGAGTAGCCTAACATTCTTATGAAATCTCAAAGGTCTATGAATATCCAACATAATCTTGAAGAAGAAAAACAATACTAAAGGCCTCACACTTCCTGACTTCAAGGTATATTGTAACTATAGTACTCAAAATAGTATGAAATAGATGTATAAACCAATGGAGCAGCAGAGAAAGCCCAGAAATAAATCCTCATGTATGTGGCCAAGTGACCTTCTGTAGGGGTACTAAGGCTGGCCTATAGAGGAAGACCCTCTCTTCATCAAGTGATGCTAGGCAAACTAGATACCAACAAGCAGAAAGAATGAAGTTGGACCCTCACCTTATGCCACATACAAAAATTGATTTAAAATAGATTAAAGACCTAAGAGCTGGGCGTGGTGGTGCACGCCTGTAATCCCAGCACTTGGGAGGCCGAGGCAGGAGGATCGTAGCTCGAGACCAGCCTGGGTTACATAGTGAGTTCCAGGTCAGTCTCAACTATATAGTGAGACCCTGTCTCAAAAAAAAAAATAAAAAATAAACAAAAATAAAGACCTAAGTGTAAGATCTGCTATTATAAAACTCCTAGAAGAAAATAAGGGGAGAAGCTTTATGAGATCGGATTGGCAATACTTTCTTAAATATAACAACAAAAGCATAGACAATAAAAAGCAAAGATAAATGAGCCTACAAACTTTGAAGTTTGTGCACAGCAAAGGTACTAATAAACAGGGTGAGGGGCAAGGATGTAGCTCAGTGGCATGGCACCTGCCTGGTGAGCAGAAGGTCCTGAGTTCGATCCCTGGTACCAAAAAACAAGCAAAATAACAAGGTGAAAGGATGACCTACAGTACAGGAGACAGTATTTTCCTAGCCATGTATCTAAAAAAATTAATATCCAGAACATACAAAGAACTCCTACAACTCAATAAGGAAGAAATAACAAACAATGAGCAAGGTCAGGCACAGAGGCAATGTTTGGTCTAAGATATTTGGGAGGCTGAGGCAGAAGGATCCCTTGAACCTAAGAGCTCAAGGACAGCCTGGGTAACATAGAAAAACCCTGTCTCAAAACCGAGGAAGCCAGCTGGACAGCCCTCAGGAGGCTGAGGCAGGAGGATCATTGTGAATATGAGGCCTGCCTGGGCTCCACAGTGAGTTCAAGGTCACCCTACATTACAAGGTGAGATATTGTCTGAAAACAGGGGAGGGAGGCAAAGGAAGAAAAGCTTGAAAAGGAGGAGCTGGGAGAAGGAAAGGTGGGGAAGGGCACCTGGGAAGAATTAAGAGTTGTTACACGTGTGTACCAACTCACTACATGAATGTAATCATTATGCACTCACACGTGGACTAATGAAATAACAGTGAAAAAGAAAAGGAGGAACCAGATACAGAGGTGGAAGGAAAAACGGGACCAAACAAGCCCCCAGAAGTCCAGGGAAGAGAACACTGAAAAACACATGAAACGCAAACATGGGACGCGTTTGCTGTGAAACTTGGTGATGCTTACAAAGGGCTGAGCAAAATAGCAAATGTGGACTGAGCTCTCAATAGGGTGCAAGGCGACTGATGGGAAGAGTCAGGGGTGGCAGCACCACATGCCTAGAAAAGACCAGGTGTAGTGGCACTCAGTGCCTGCTAGCCGAGACAGCGTGAGGTTCCTGGACAACTTGAGGCACTGCGGAAGTACCTATCACACAGCCATGAGGCAAGGGATGCAGGCAGGCCAAGCCCGCACAGAAACATGCTTGACTGTGGCTTCTGGTCCGGAGTGCGGGCCCTCTAGCAGCCCCCACCTCCAGAGTCTCCTGAATTGCAACTAAAACATGAAGCTACAGAAAGAGTTGAAAACCCACAATCTTACCGTACACGAGTCTTGACAGCAGGCTGTCAGAATGGGGGAAGAGATTTGAGTGGCATATTTTTACCTAGGATAAAGCCAGTAGAACTAGGTGGAAAAGTGGAATTGTAATGAACCCCAGGCTCTGCTGCCCACAGAGTGCCACTGCCTCCTATTCTAAAAATAACTTGAAAAAGCCTTTATTCCTCCCCCTACTGTCTGACCCTAAAAAAAAAAAAAAAAGAAAAAAAAAAAAAAGAAAGGCAAGGTCTTTGTCAACTGGGTAATGCAGAGCCTTCACTCCAGTGCTCAAATGCCTTTGAAGAAAAGTGCTCTTCTCTGTCCCCAGGGCCGCCTCTCAGCTGGAATGCACTTGGAGAAGGCAGCTCCCCCAAAGCCCCGGGCACTGAGACAAGAGGAGGAACGCAGCTTCGAGAAGGTGGCACGGTCCTTCATAGGTGCAGATGCGGGGCAGAGACAGGAAGAGGTGAGGAATGTCATCTTTGAACTTCTGAGGGTGCAGGTGGCCAGGATGTAGAGGTAGGAGACTGAGAAGTCCTGAGGGTAGACGTCCACATGGAGCCCGTGTCTGCTGTCCAGGCTGGAGGTGAATGATGAAATCTGGCCAGGACCCAAGAGGGGCCAGGAGCACAGCAGACACAAAGGGGCATCTACTGGCAACCACCTCTTCCTTCCCTGTTGACTGAGCCCAATTTTTAATTCAGGATGTGCTGTCCGCCCATGGATGGCTCAGGTGAATTCCATTCGTTCTAAGACATTTGCGTGCTTCATTTCTTTCACCAATTATTGGTCTAGGTTGAGTTTATGATTCAGTTCTGGTCAACAAAAGGAGTTCGTTAAGAGGAGAGGGGATTCTGTTTTTTAAAAAATTATCAGCACATGCTTATGGTACATACTGATAATATTCATGGTGGGGAGCTGGTAAATGGAAGTCACACAACTTAATGCTTTTTCTTTGCCTTCAGCGGAGAGGGGATTCTGAGAAAGGTTTCTTCTTCCTCTTTCTCCTTTCCCTTCTCCCCACCACCACTGCTCCAGTACTGAGGACTGTACTGAACCCAAGGCCTCACACATACTAGGCAAGCACACTACTACTGAGCTACACCAGCCCACAAGGTTTTTTGCTCTTTAAAAAAATACTCCAAGGACTGGTCATGGTGTATGCCTGTAGTCCCAGGACTCTGGGAGGCCCGAAGAGGAGGATCAAAAGGTCAAAGCTACCCTGGGCAATTTAGCAACTTTATTGAGATCTTGTCTCAAAATAACATTTTTAAAAATGTAAAGGGCAGTGGATGTATTTTAATGCAAAGATCCCTGGTTCAAAATAAGAAAAAAATCATTCAGGGAAGAAGCAGTTCTTTTAATCCCCCTGGATCGTAAGGATGTGGTCTGGACTTGCCACAGGCAACTAAGCACCTTGAAGGAGCCCCGCCTGAGTGAGAAACATGGCAGAGTAGAAAGACAAAGAAATTGGGTGCCTGAGGACCCTGCTGGGCAGTCTTCTTATGCGACCTCAGAATCATTTCAGTTAAAACTGGTTAGGGCCAGGGATTTAGCTCAGAGTTTCCTCCACCTGCACCACAAGCGCAAGGACCTGAGTTTGATCCCTGGTACCAAAAAGAAAAAAAAAAAAAAAAAAAAAAAAAAAATCGGTTGGATTGAGATTTATTGTTACTTTCAGCCAAAAGCCTCACGACCAACCCAGAGGGCAATTCTCACATCTTATATTTTTGGCAAACACCAGCTTGCTCCTTGTTCAAGAATAAATAAACAGAAAATATCGAGAAATTGGGCAAATGAAGAATGTTTCCAAGCGAGGGAACATCAAGGTTATTCTGAAGACTTGGGAGGAATCTATCCTGAAAGGGATTCGGTGTGGCAGGGGAGAAAGAAGGAGATCGGCTGCCATCTTCAAGGAGAAAGACAACACAGCCTCCACTTAATGGGAGAGGAAGACCACGATGAGAAAGTAGCTGGAGAAGCAGGATGAGAGGCAATGAAAATGGGGAAGGGGAGAAAGGCTTGCTGGGAAATTAAAAGCACACTAGCAAAACTGAAATATTTCAAAGAAAATTCATTACAAATACAAAAAGTTTTAACAAGTCACAGTAGAATGGAAAATGTACACCTCTCTCAGTCTTTGGAATATCAAGTATAAAATAAGAAAACAGAATTGAATGATAAACTTAATTCTATATAATACATACATATACACAGAGAAAGAGAGGGATAGAATAAAACACTGCAAAATAATGCACATTGTTTGAAGTAGCCATTTTATAGTTAAAATATTTGCTATCTTTTTTTTTTTGGTACTGGGGATTGAACTCAGGACCTTGTGCTTGCCAGGCAGCTAAATCCCCGGCTACTTGTCATATCTCATATGGCAAAAAAAACTTCAATAGTTATTAAAACTTTTAACTTGTTTTTTTGTTTTGTTTTGTTTTTTGAGACAAGGTCTCTCACCTTGTAGCCCAGGATGGCCTCGAACTCTTGGTATTCTTCCTGCCTTAGCCTCCTGAGTGCTAGGATTACAGGCATACATCTCTATGCCTGGCTAAAACTTTAAAAAGAACAAAAATCATAAAAGTATCTATCTTTTAACCACAGAAGAGTAAAACCAAAAGCAAGAATATAAAGGAAAAGCAACTCATCTCAAAATGAAAATATATTCTCTAAAAATAACTTGACTCAAATCCACAATATTAGTAAAAACATAGGTATAAATTTTTGTGATCTGAGATTAGGCAACTGTTTCTTAGAAATAACACCAAAAGCACAAGCAACCAATTAAAAAATTAATAAATTATACTGCATCAAAATTGCACACTTTTTGTGATTCAAAGAACACTTTGACAAGACAACCCACAAAATAGGAGCAAATATTTGCAAATCATATATCTGATAAAGCCTATAGGGGTTAAGATGGACACAATGGCACATGCCTGTAATCTCAGCACTCTGGAAGGCTGAGGCAGGAGGACTGCTAATCTGAGCCCAGCCTGGGAAACCTAGTGATTTAGAGACCCTGACAAGGAAGAAAGGGGTGAGGAAAGGAGGGCAGAAAAGAAGGAAGGAGGAAGATGTAGCTCAGTGTGAAGGCCCTGAGTTCAATCCCCAGGACCACACACAAAAAAAGCAGGTGCTCAAAAAAGTTAAAAAAAAAAACAGATGTAGTGGCATATGCCTGTAATCCCAGCATTTGGGAGGCTGAGGCAAGAGAATCGCTGTGAGTTTGAGGCCATCCTGGACTACACAGTGAGTTCAGTGCCAGTCTGAACTACATAGATAGACACTATCTAAAAAAAATAAAGTTACAATATGCATTAGTCAGCTCAGGTTACCATAATCAGACAGTGAACTACAGATTTGGTGGCTGAAACAATAAAAATGTATTTTTGCATATTTCCAGGGGCTAGAAGGCTCAGTTCAACATGCTGGAAGATTTGTATTCTGTGCAGGGCTCTCTTCTTGACTTGCAGGAAGCCACCTTTTCCTGTGTCACCCTGTGGCCTTTCCTCGGTGCATAGATGGATAGACAGCCAGAGAGCTGTGTGGTCTCTCTCTTTTCTTATAAGGACACCAGTCCCATGGGAATAGGGTCCCTATGCTCTAACTTTGAAAAGAATTCTCACCATTTTGGGATACAGGGCTTCATCAGTCGGGGCGGGGGGTATGATTCAGCCCATAATACCATATGATTTAGCAATTCTATCCCTAGATTTACAGCCAGGAAAACTGAAAATATATATTCACACAAGACATTATACATAAGAACTAGGGTTTGTCACAGTGGTAGAGTACTTGCCTACTTGCCTAGTACATGCAAGGCCCTGGTTGAATCCCTAGCGCCGCAAAATGAACAAACATACAAACAAAACCAAAATTTATCCATGAGAGACAAGAGATAAAAACTTATACATAAATATTTATAGAAACATTACTCATAATAGGCCACTGTTCATCAACAAATGAATGAATAAACAAAATTGTGCAACAGAATATCATTCAACCATGAACAACAATGGAATGCTGATATAAAGAATGGATAAACCTTGAGAATTGGCTAAGTGAAAGAAGAAAGATGTCACAAATTATATACTACCATGTAGTATAGAAATGCCCGTAACAGGCAAATCTGTAGAAGGACAAAGTAGATTAGTAGTTACTAGAGGTTTCCTGAGCATGGGGATTACAAGTGTGCGCCACCATGCCTGGCTGAAAATTTTTAAGATATACATTTATTGGGTTGAGGGTGTAGGTCATTGATAGAACACTATCCTAGCATGCACAGGGCCCTGGGTTCAACCTCCAGCACTACAAATATATATACATATATATTTCTTTTTCTTTTTCTTTCTTTTTGGTACCAGGGATCAAACTCGGGTCATTGCGATTGCAAGGCAGAACCACTGAGCTAAAACCCCGGCCCTATACCTATATATTTCTAATAAGTTAGAAAAACATAAAAGATTATAAATGTAGATGGAAGAAAATCTTAAAATATGAGCAAATGAATTTAGCAAGGTAGCAAAAAAAAAAAAATACTCATACCCAGTAGGATATAACCTAGGGATGTAGAGAGTTCCTTCTGAAATCTGAATGGATAGCCTCATACCATCAGATCAAGGAGAAAAATAAGTGGTCATCTTGAAAAGATGCTGAAGAGGCATTTTATAAAATTCATACCCATTCTTGATCTTTGCAAAAAAAGTTCAGGAAAAAGCAGAAGCAACCTGTGGCCTAGGAGTTAAAAGCACAGTGTTTCCGCTGCAGACACACTTGGGTTCAGTGACCAGTGGCTCTCAGCTTCTCCAACCTCAGTTTCAGCATTAGCAAGATTAACACAACCCCATTTCAGTGAATTAATATAGAAAATAATATTGCACAGTCCCAAACACAGAGCAGCATTCAGTCAACAGGAGCTTAGTGTTTCAGCTCCTTTTTGATTTTGAGATGGGGTCACACTGTGCTACCCAGGATGACCTCAAACTCCTGGGCTCAAGGGACCCTCTTGCTTCAGCTTCCCAAGTATGTGCCACAGTGCTTTGTCAGAAACTTGGTATTTTTCTTAATAAAATGAAAATGGAAGAGTATTTTCAACTATATCAAAAGAACAGGATGGTTAATATGAATGCCAAATGAAAGTCAATATATATATATATATATATATATGTGTGTGTGTGTGTGTGTGTGTATATATGTATGTATATATATGTATATTAGAAAAGAGATTTTATAGTAGTTATAGATATGGATACAGAGATATAAATAATTCTGGGAAGTAAATACCCTAAGATAATGATAGTTGTTTATGTCTGGGTAATAGGATTGTAGTTACTCTTTCTATACTGGGAAGTTTTGTTTGTTTGTTTGAGACAAGGTCTCACATGGAGTTCAGGCTGCCCTTGAACCAGGCTGGCCTCAGACTCATGGTGATCCTCCTGCCTGAGTGCCCCAGTGCTGGGATTATAGGCATATGGAACCACGCCCAGCTCTATACTTAATTTTTAAAAATGAAAATGCAGTATCGCTTCTCAGCCTTTTGGCTAAGATCAAGTGTAAAAATGAAAATGCAAAGGCAAAGGTTAAATCACAACAGAGAGGATAAAGAACAGAACTGTTGTCATAGAAAACTATTCAGACTGGAAAATCTCTCTCAAAAGGCAGAGGAAATGGATTAAGAACTAAAAATGATAAAGGAAGTAGCAAGAATTAAGAATCAGAAATGATTTTAAAGCCTAAGGCTTAGCGATAGTCTTAAGAGATAGACCGGAGCTATCAGAACTTCTAGTCAAAGCAATAACTGAAGAAAACTTTCCAAGGTGTGGTGGGGAGGAGGAAGTGTGTAGATCAAAAGGTCTACTGTGTCCCAGGCAAATTCAATGAAAAGAAATCCATATTGGGTAATTTTCATCAGCAGATTAAGGAACTATTCAAACATCAGTGCCTGTGTGCACACCCATGTTATTTAAAATATAATGAAATCCTAGCCTAAAATATAATGAAACCCTAAAATATAATGAAACTTTGTTGGCAATACAACTGCCAGAAGACAGAGAAGCGGGGTCACAGAGCCGTCACATCTCTTCAGATAGAAACAAACAAACAAACAAACTCGGAAACCACACCACTCACTTATCTTTCTTGCAAAGGAAGTATAAGGGGTCACTTGAAAGCGAGCCCCAGCTGGGAGACAAATCAAAACTAAATGTCAAGAATGAGGAGGGTGTAGCATGAAGGTGGCAGGCCTTCATTTCTTCGCCTCAATTCCAGACTCAGAAATGCGCTGCCAGGTGGGATTCCATGCCCTGCCGCCGGACCCCACCCACTTCGCCGCCCTTTGCCAGGCCCGGGTCAGAGTGGCCGTGGCAGCACCCCCACCCCGTTGCAGAGGCAGAAGCGGGAGGAAGGGAGACACAGGACGAGATTGCTTTTCGAGACAGAAGGAAAGGAACTAGGGTTGGTGTGTGTGTGTGTGTAAGACTTTCCATCTCTTTTTCCCTGGGAATCAGAGGCAGGTGAATTGCAGGGTTGAGTGTAGCACTGCGGCGCCCTGCGACGCGTCGGGGGAAGCGGAGCCGAAAGGCTCACCCCTCACATCCTCTTTGGCCCCCTGGCAAAGAGCAGGCAGGCTTAATCCCTCCCTGGGCACTCAGGGCGGGCTGCGGGGCCTCGATGGGGGGGTCCCCGGGACCAGGCGTCTCGTAGTCCCTTCCACCCTGGCAACACTGTGGTCCCTCTGGGGTGGCCGTGGGGGGCTGGAGGGGGCGCGCGGCGCGGCCTGGCCTTACCCCCGGGCCCCGTGGAGACTGTGACCTGC